ACCGTACGTACCTACCTACTACCGTCCTCCTACCTACCGTACCGTACCGTACCTACCTACCTACCTACCTACCGTACCTACTCTCTCTCTCTCTCTCTCTCTCTCTCTCTCTCTCTCTCTCTCTCTCTCTCTCTCTCTCTCTCTCTCTCTCTCTCTCTCTCTCTCTCTCTCTCTCTCTCTCTCTCTCTCTCTCTCTCTCTATTCTCTCTCTCTCGCGCGCTCTCTCTTTCTCTCTCCCTCCTTGTCTCTTTCTCTTCCGCCTCGCCCCTTCTCTCTCTTCATTTCCTTGGCCGACTCTCTGTCCTCCTCTTTTCCTCTTTGTCTTTCTTTTTTCTTCCTCCTCTCCTGCCTCGTCGTCGCGCTCACTGCCCATATGGCTTGTCGCCTCTGTACCACCTTAATGGCCTCCTGCGAGTGAAAGGATCCGAATGCCGCTCCCGTATGCTGTTGCGTTGTTCCTGCGGCGTTTCGTGACTGCGCGCCCGGCTCACGGCACGGCCAGGCTGAAGCGGGGAGGCGTACGTGGGGCGGGCGGCTGAAAGATGATCCGGGCGCCGGACCCTTTTTTGCTTCGTCTGGCGACCCGCGGCGGGCGTCTCGATGGCCGTTCGGCAGTCGCGGAGGTTGCCCCACAATTCGGACTTGGTCAGGGCACCGGTTGGCTGGCAGCCCGCCCGCCCGCCCGCCTTCGGACCTCTTCTTCCAGCCCCACCTTACTCTGCTGACCGCCGCCGCCGTCCTCGACAAGCAAGACGCAAGCAAGCAAGCAAGCAACCGGGCATCAGTACTACGATTCTTATTACTGGCCTTCTTCAGCACCACCTCCACCACCGCCGCCACCACATCGACGCCCCAGACCACTTCGCAGACGCAACCCATTCCTGACCTGCCCCTGTGCTCTACCCGACCGCCACCACTACCACCAACACCACCGACATGGCCTTCCGAAGCAGCCCGGCCGTTCAACAGGGCCTCTCGAGCCTCTTGCAGAAGCGTGCCGATGACGTCGTCTTTACCACGGCGCTGCGGACGCCCATCGCCCGCATGAAGAAGGGCTTCAAGGACGCCTACCCCGAGGAGCTCCTGGCGCACGTCCTCCGGCGCACCCGCGAACGCCTCGAGTCGCGCGGCGTCGACAAGAGCATCATCGAGGATATCTGCACCGGCACCGTGCTCATGGAGCTCGGCGGCGCCAAATCGGGCAGGATGGCGGCGCTTCACGCCGGCATGCCCGTCACGTCGGCCTACAAGTCGGTCAACCGCCAGTGCGCCAGCTCGCTGCAGAGCATCACCGACATTGCCAACGCCATCAAGGTCGGCGAGATCAGGTGCGGCGTCGCCGCGGGAGTCGAGAGCATGACGCGCAACTACGGCTCGAGGGCCATCCCCGTCGACCTCAGCCCAGACTTTAAGAGCAGCCCGGTGCAGGACGCCGTCGACTGCATCATGCCCATGGGCGAGACGAGCGAGCGCGTGGCCGAGCGGTGGAACATCGGCAGGCAGAGGCAGGACGAGTTTGCGGCCATCTCGCACCTCAAGGCCGACGCGGCCCAAAAGGACGGCCGGCTCGCCTCGGAGATTGAGCCCATCGAGGTCCGCTGGGTCGACGACGAGACGGGCAAGCAGACGACCAGGCTCATCAGCCACGACGAGGGCATCCGCGCCGGCACCACGGCCGACAAGCTGGCCAAGCTCAAGCCCGTCTTCCGCGAGAATGGCTTCAGCACCGCCGGCAACTCGTCGCAGGTCAGCGACGGCGCCGTCGCCCTCACCATGGCGCGCCGCGACGTGGCCGAGGCGGCGGGCATGGAGATCCTCGGCCGCTGGGTAGGCACCGCCACCATGGGCGTCAGGCCCGACGTCATGGGCATCGGTCCGGCATTTGCCGTGCCCAAGCTGCTCGAGCGCTTCCAGCTCAAGGCCGACGACATTGACCTGTGGGAGCTCAACGAGGCCTTTGCCTCCCAGGCCCTCATGGTCATCGACACGCTCAAGCTCGATATGGCAAAGGTCAACCCAAAGGGCGGCGCCATCGCCCTCGGTCACCCGCTTGGCGCCTCGGGCGGCCGACTCGTCACCAGCCTCCTCTCGGAGCTCCGCAGGACCGGGCAGCAGGTCGGCGTCGCCACTCTCTGCTGCGGCACCGGCTACGGCAAGGCCAGCTTGATCATCGCCGAGTGAAGCGGGCTCGGCCCTATACCCGCGCGCACAGACAGACACGTTTGCACAGAGCACGCCGGGGATAGAGAGAGGAGTGGAGGGAGGCGCTCTCGCCTGTATGTAGCTGGCCAGGCAGCCTCCGGGGTATATTCATGAGGACAACAACAACGACCAGATAGACACGACACGGGGATGAGCTACGTCCGTCGGGCTCTACTGCTGGCCCCGCTTGATCTTGTTGAGCATCACTTCCATCCTCGCCGAGAGGTCCGGCTGGCCGCGCTTCTGGCCCTCGCGGCTGGCGCTCTTCTTGTTCCAGAGCTCCTTGTTGCGCGCCCGGTCGGCCAGCTTCTCCTCCTTTGTCCGCGTGTCGACGGGCTTCTTGCTCGACGCATCCTCCACGGGCGCAGGTTGCTTGGGCTTGGCGACGGGGTGCGGCAGGGGCTTGTGCTTCCTTTGCCTCTGATCCGGCCGCGCGGTGCTGGCCTCTTTCCCGTCACGGCGCGGTGCTGATCTCGAGGCAGAGGCGGCGGTCGAGGGACCGTCGTCGTCCGACGTCTGCGGCGGCGGAGGACCGGCCCTGGAGCGTGCGCGCTTCTCTGCCTCGGCGAGAAAGTCGATCTCGTCGTCGTCGGGCGCGAACCTGCCCCCGGGAACAAAGACGGCGTCCGGATCGTCGTTGCCACCATCGTCGTCGGCACCGCCGTCATCTCCGCGACCGCGGTGATCTGGACGCTGCGGTGCACCTCCTTCGCGCTCGAGCTGCTTGTAGTAGGCCTTCTTGACCTTGGCCTTGTGGATGAGCTCGGCCTTTAGCTTCTTGGCCTTGCCGAGGTAGGCGCCGTCGGGTAGGTTGGTCGGTCCCACCTTGAATCCGCCGGCCTTTTTGGGTCGCGAGCCCGGAGCGGCATTGGTGCGGTGCTTGACGAGGCTGCGCTTGGTCTGGAGGGCTTTCTGCGAGGGCATCGTGTCGGAACGAGGCGGCGACAGGGCGAGTGGCGAGGGAAGGTGGTCGTGAGGGAGGCCAGGGAAGAGTTGGCTAGACGCCAGAGGGGAAGGCGACACACCCAGCCAGCCAGCCAGCCGGCCAGCCAAAAGCGCCCACTTGAAATTTTCCAAGGTGGAGGCAAGGGCCGAGGCCTAACCTGCTGCTTTTTCTCGTGCGGAACTCGAGCTCGACTCAGCCGCAGGCGAACGGAATACAAATCCAGCCCGGCCGGCATTTCAAACCGCACGCACGCCTGCCCCTGCTACCCAGGGTTTTCAAATGGATCGGCGGTTTCGCAGGCGGCCGCTCTAAAACGAGGATCGAAGGCGAAGGCAGGTCCAAAGGGGCCGTCTTCTCTTACAAACGCCGCGCAGCCAAGAGAGGCCAGGCCACCAGGCGGCCGGGCCTGACTGCGCAGCGCAGCGCGGCAGGGCGGGGGCGAAGCAGGTCGTCGGGCGAGCCTAGTCAACCTGGGCCTCCTCGCCGGGCCCGGCCTCCGCTCGCCACTCCATCATCTCTGTCTCCATCCCGACTTGACTCGACTCGACTCTCCCTCTTCCCTCCTCACCACTTCACCCCTTCACAAACACACAAACAAGGCTCGTACTCGGCCAACAAACGGGATCTCCTCTTAGCTTATGAACGTTCAAAACCTCGCAGCCTACGGTGAGTCACCCGCCCCGCTGCCCTCCGCCCTGCCAGACCGTCTCAGCCGGTGGCGCTCAGGGCGCATTCAGATCCTCTCGCCACACCTGGACTCGTTACTGACCGCCTATACCCGCTGTCGCTGTTCCAACGCTCTCGATAGACCCCTTCGCCGATCTCGGTGAAGAGCAAGTCAGACAGGAGGAGCAGGCTGCCAAGAAGAAGCAGCAGCAGCAGCAGAACTACGTCCACATCCGTGTCCAGCAGAGGAACGGACGCAAGACGCTCACCACGCTCCAGGGTCTTCCCAAGGGTGAGTGTGCGGCGCGGCGGCGCATCAGCGTCGCCACCATCGGCCGTTTCATCTCGTCTTCCGAGAATTTTGACTGACACGTTTTGCCAACCACCCTCCCTCCTCCGACTCCGCGCGCTGCACCGTCTGTGACCGCCACAGAGTGGGACCAGAAGATGCTGCTGAAGGCCTTCAAGAAGGACTTTGCCTGCAACGGTACCATTGTCGAAGACGAGGAGCTCGGACAGGTCATCCAGCTCCAGGGCGACCAGCGCCAGAAGATCGCCGAGTTCCTCGTCACCGAGGGCATGCCCAAGAACGAGGTCAAGGTGCACGGTTTCTAAAGCCCCGCCACCGCCACGCTCTCTGCGACCGCATCTCGCCACCGGACACCTTGCTCCACCAGACCGACGTTGCGGCTCTCATGCCGGCGTAGCTACCAGCTGCCTCGGCTTCTCCTTCCCACCTTCCCGTCTTCCTACCTCTCACCCTCTTCCCAACACCCGCCCACTCTCCACCCTTCTCCTCTGGGTCTGAGGGCCTCTTCTCTCCTACGACACACGGCCACGTTCACATGCGACGATGAACGCCGCGGTTCAGATCGGAGGACCCTCCCGCATCACTCTCGAAGACCTGATGAGCAGCTCCGGGCGCTCTAGGGTCACGACGGACGGCGCGGCATCGACCAACACAGCGGCTCGAGCTCGACGACGAAGGGGCAGGCGACAGCAACATGCGACCGTGGTGCCTTCGGATCAAACTCCCGGCGACGGGCTGATGTCCTTGATGACGCGGACCTCGCACCCTTGCGCTGCTCCGCCGACGATCGAAAGTCAGCGCCGCAAGCGCCAGGAGTCCCGCGTTGCAAGTCACCAGCGATGGCCCACGGCACGAGGCGCGCGATCCGGTTCGGGCATCGGACGGGGCGTATTCAGCTTCGCGGAGATGGTTCGCCCGCCGGAGCAGGATCCCCATCCTCCTGCGGCGGCGGCGGCGGCGGCAACGGCGGCTATCGACGACGACCGTCTGCCGCACCTTCTGCATCGCTAGCGCTCCATTCCGACATCCGCATCGCCCTCAAGATCCCGCGTCTGTTTTTTGCATGGTTGATTCGGCATACCCCCTCCTCATCCGGCTCCACTATGTTTCCCCTCGATCCATCCATCCTTCCATCCTCCCATGCACACACGGCTGCCTGTCTGTCCGCACCTAATCGCACGCATCTGACCACCCCCGCACAACTCGCTCGACAAGTCATCTGTGGCCTCGACTCGATTACAGACGCCCCGATGCGCTCGCTCGCGTGCCGCCGCCGCCGCTGCCGTACTGATTACTTGGTCGCCTCTGGCTCGATCTCGGTCTCGCTGCCGCTGCCATCCTCGACCGGGTTGACAATCTCTGCCAGCTTCATCTTGGCTGCCGGCGGTACTGCCGGCGCCGATGCAGGCGGAGGGGGCGATGCTGCTTTCCTCTTCTGCCCCGTCGCCGTCGCAGTCGACGGCGCGGTCGCTGCTGCCTGACCGCTCGCCGTGGCGGTGACGGGCCTGCGGGTCTTCAGGTCCTGCCGCCACTGCTCGACGAGGTGGACCTTGAGCTCCGACAGGTACCGGAACGTCGACCCGTCGTAGTGCGAGACGAGCGGGCCCTTGAGGAGCGACTCGTAGTGCTTGTCCGGGTGCGGCAGCTGCGACGACGGGCCGCGCGAGGTTGGCGTCCAGAAGCAGAGGAGAAAGAGATGGTGAGTGATGGCTCCCTCGCGATGGCGGATCCAGACGGGGTCTCACCTTCTTGCTCGGGATGTAGCTCTCCGCCTCGCGCAGGCTGAGCCAGAAGCCGTTGTCCGGGTGGAAGGACAGGTAGTGCTGTGCGGGCAGACGCCACGTCCCGCAAGGAAGCCGTCAATCTCCGAGCGCCCGGAGACAGGTCCGACTTCGACCCGGACAGACGCACCTTTTTGTTCTTGAGCCGGTCAGAGACGAGGTCCGACGAGATGACGTGCAGGTGGACAGTGTCCATGGAGGGGACGGCGTGGAAGCCTCGGTGGATGGTCCACTGCTTGCCGCCGTGGTCGCGGCGCATTCGCTCGCGCAGAAGCTCGACGACCCTGTCGCTAGCCTTGCGCAGGGCCTGGATCACCTCGGCGGCGTAGGGAGACGCCAGCAGTGTGCGCAGCGACTGGAGAGCCCCGACGGGGACCTCATTGCCGGACGAAAGGCCGGACGAGAGTCGACCGTTGGAGGTGCTCAGCTGCGGGATCTTGTGCGAGGGTCCGATCGAAGATTCGAATGGTATGCGAGCTGAATGGGCGAGGAGACAGTAGTGGCGAGATACATCAGCGGTGAGGGCGAGCGGTGAGGACTAGCAAACGCGCCCACTCACGCAGCACCAGGGCATGATATTGAGCTTCGGCAAGACGAGGGACGGCAAGGACGATGGCGGGTCAGCTGCGGCGTCGACTCCGAGATGAGGACGATACGGATGCTGCGAGGCGCACCTTTTGGATAGCTATCCCGGATGGATATCTGGGGTCGACGGAAGCGCGACGAGGAGTGTGTGTCAGCCATCCTGATCCCTCGAGGCCATCTCGTCATCTCGCACGACCTTGACAACTTACCGTCTTGTCGTCGTGGTCGAGCAGCACAAATGGCGGCAGATTGGCCTGCACAGGGATTGCCAGAGCATCGCTCGAAGCTGCGGCTTTCAGTGATTGTCTAACTGAAGCATCGTGGCGGCTCGATGCGGACGAGGCTGTGACGCTCACTGGGTTGACCGCCTTTGCGTAGCTGGTGAGGGCCGAGGTCCAATGCCTGGCTTCGCGGGCGGCTTCCCTCTTGACCCGCTCGACGGTAGCGCCTGGCTTTCCACACATGGTCGCAAAGATGTGTGATTGAATGTCGAGCGAGAGGTATGGATGTTACAACGGCGGAGATAGGGTGGCTGCGGGTGGCGCAGCGGTGGTCGTAAGGGAAGCTGAGGTCGACTGGCAAGGCCGAGCCAGCCAGGCCGCTCGCAAGGGGATGGGGGGAAAGGCAAAACGCTTGAAGCCAGCCAAAGTGGAGGTTGCTCGGTGTTGCCCGCCAGGCGGCCTGCCAGAGGCCACGCGCTTAACAAGCGTGGCAGGCCAGCCCAGCTGCCAAAAAATCTCGGCGCCGAGATCAACAGGCAAGCCCGGCAGGCCCACCTTTCACCCTTCAGGGGCCTGACCGGCCAGGCGAGACCAACAGGCCCAGCTGGCGCAGGCCACGCATGACCGGCAGGCAGGCAGGCAGACATGACAAGAGCCCGCGCCTTCGGGCCGTTCCACCTTGCCTGGATCCAAACGATACCCCAGCATCCTCGATACCCATCGCACGTCCTCCTCGCCGCTGCCCGGACCGTTCTCTGCAAAACGACTGCCACCATGTTTGCGCCGATGAGCGCTGGCGGCAGCGACGACGTGTGGCACGTCCAGGACGAGCCGGCGTCGCTCAAGCCGGGTCGATTCCGAGCCTACCTGCCTAACCAGCTGCTCAACCACCACGCCAGCGGCCAGGCCCCGTCCTCGATCGCCACCTCGAGCCGCGCCATCCCCTTTTCGCGCGACGCCAACCTCGTCGGCCGATCCGCTGCGTCCAAGAAGCGCAAGGGCAAGGCACGGCTGCTCGACGACATCGGCAGCGGCACCGAGACATCCGACGGAGGAGCCGCCAACCACGGCTTTGGCAATCGGCTCGCTGCCGGCTTCGGCCTCGGAAGGAACAAGCGCAGCAAGACGACGCAGGCGCTGGCACAGCAGCGGGATCAGCAGCGTCAGCAGCAGCACCAGCAGCATCCGGCGAGGCCAAACAGGGGGATAGGCAGGTTCGGAACCGGCGCCGACGGTGCTGTTGGCAGCGATCTGTTCGAGGAGTGGTACGGCGCCGACTACGAGCAGTATCCGGCGCAAGGCGTCAGGCAGTCTGCGTTTGGGAAGACGTCTGGGCTGGAGCCAGCGCAGCGCAGCTTGCGTCCGTCGCCCTACCAGCCGTCTCCCTCGGCCACGCCTCGGACGAGGACGTCTCGGGACGGCCGGCCGCGGCCTCGCAGCTGGGTGCATAACCTGGTGCGGCCTTCGCGCGATACCGTCGAAGACTGGCTGGACAGCTGGTGGAAGCGGTGGTTTGCCCTGGCGGTGCTGCCTTCGCTCGTCGTATGGTTCTGGTGCGCGGTGCCCTTCCCCAAGACGGACCCGTACGATCCCAACCTGCCCTGGTGCAACCCGGGCGAGGACGGCCGCAGCGACGATCCGAGCAACCCGCCGTGGTGCTATCCGCGCAATGCGACCGTTGTACCCTCGTCAATGTCCTCTGCGGTCGGCCTCCTTGCGCGCCTCCCGACCGTCTCTGGCCTCGTCTACTCCGCGGCGCCAAAGCTCTTTGCGGTCCTGTCCGGCTCCTCGGCATCGGCATCGGTCTCGCCATCGTCATCGCCCGCGCCCGCACCATCGCCGGAGCCCGAACACCTCACCGTCGATGCCAACTTCTGGTTCTTCCTCGTCTTCTACTACGGCCTCTACGTCGCCGTGGCGCTCGTCTACATCACCCAGCTCTTCAGCCTGTACCGCCTCAACTGGTGGCCAGCCGCGCTGGGGGCAAGGACGTCCTACTCGTTCTTCTGGGTGGGCAGCCTGGTCGCCGGCTGGGTCCTGCACGAAATGGACCCCTTTGGCACCGAAAAGGCCAGCAGACCGCCGCACGAACTTCCAACGCCAAGTGTAGACAACGGCCGGTACGATGTGCTTCGACAGCACAATGGAGCCAGCAACGGCACGAGCCCAGGGCCTGGAGGATACCCTGGCGGCGGCGGCGGCAGCATCGACGAGAGCGACATCCAGTGGCAGCGAAAGACGCTGTGGGTCGGTCTGGCCTTTGCCACGATGGCCATGCCGGCGCTCGTGTGCTTTGTCGGCCTGCGCAGGAGCGGCAGGCAGACCTACCGCCACAGCCTGACCGACCACCAGAAAACGTTCCTCGAACGTCAGCTGTCGCGGCGCATCCCGTCGTCCTACATCCGCTTCCTCTGGTTTATCTCGGTCATCGGCCTGGGTCTGTTTGCGCTGATCGCCGGCCAGGGCTACGCCAGCGTCTACCTCGCCACGCTGCCCCACACGGGCCTCGACGGCATCGCCTACGTCAGCTTCTGGACCCTCACCGTCAACGGCATGGCGCTCGTATCGCATTGGATCCTCGAGGAAAAGGTCCGCAGCCGCGCCTTGCTCTTTGTGTTCAAGGTGAGTCGAACGGCCACGATCAGCGCTGGGCAGGTGGCCATGCGTGGCAAAGTAGACGGTGCTGACGCTGAACCTGATCCCTCGCCACCTGCGACGGCGGCGATCCTCTGCGCAGTACTATTACTTCCTTGTCTACTTCATCTTCTACCGCAACCTGTTTGCCCGCCTTCGCAGCTTTGACCAGTTTGCGCTGGTGCAGCTGCTCAGCTCGTTCTGGGTCTGCATCTACTACCCGTTCAGGTGAGTCCCCTTCCCCTCGATGCGAGCCGAAGCCCCTCTCGACTGCAGCGTTACCGCGGTCTAACGACGACGGTCTTCTGACCCGCCTTTCTGCGCCGATCCCTGCACCGCAGCATGTCGAGCATCTGCCACCGGATCACGCAGTACTTTAATCCGCAGCCAAAGTCGTGGGAGGAGTACGTCGAGAGCGTCGGCCTCGGTGAGTGGCGTCGGCGTGGCCGGTCTGGTGCCCCAGGAACGCAACGTACATCGTGGCTGACCCGGTCCTCTGCACCACCCACCCCCGCCCGTGCGCAGCCTTCTACCTGCGCAACCTGGCGCAGAACACGACGATGCTGGCGTTCCTGGGCTGGGTCTCGATCCTCCACTTTGGATCCAACCAGCAGCTCTACCCCTTCTTTGCCTACGACAACAAGCACGACCCGTACAACTACCAGCTGACGATGCTCGGCTCACTGGCCATCTGGGGCTCGGAGCTGGCCAGCTCGTACGTGGCCCGCCTCATCTGCTACTGGGCCTTTGAGGTCGACGTCACCAATCTCGGCCTCGACGAGATGCGCGAGTTTCCAGAGGTGCTCACCACCATTGGCTGGGGCGCCGTCCACACCCTCATGGACATGCTCCTCTTTCTCATCAAGCTCAACTTTAGATGACCCGCCGTTTCGATAGCTGGACCTTGCACTGTACACGCACGAATCCTGATACCCTCGCTGCTGCTAGGCGAATGGCGGATGCTGCCGGGACGATGCGGTGGCTGTCTGACACGTCTCTGCGCGTAGGCGCCGTGCACCGCACGAGCCGAGCGAGCCACCAGGGTCGGGGACCGGCCGGCTTTAGGCCGACGCGGTGGACAAATGTCGGTCCGGCCTGCGTGGCCCCGCGTGGCCCCCACCGACGACGTACTTGAGATGGCATCGGAGGCAGGCAGGGAATGCGTTCGAATTCGGAGTTGCCCTCGACTACTGCTCCGCTGATTCTTGAGTCCAATGGAGAGTGCCGCCTGTCGGATCGCTGCGGTGGTGCCCACGCCTGTGACGACTTTGCCAGGGATCTCAAAATGTTGAACGGCCCGAGCCGCAACGGCGCCCACCTCACCAGGGAAGCTCACACACTTACACGCGTCGCCGCTGTCGCCGCCGCCGCCGCCACCGAAGACGGCTGGCTGCCGAAGGACAATGGGCTCACCGGCGGGTTGACGGAGGCGAGTGGCAGGGCGCGGTGCGGGGGGAAGCTTGCCAGCGTGACGAGGACGAGAGGCACGCCACGGCCGAGCAATTGACCGGCCGGCCGGAGAAGACGGAGGAGGGAGCGGGGCGCGGCCTACCGCTCTCCGCGCCTTCCGAGAGCGTGGCTAAGCCTGGCTTTGCCGGCGACGGCCAAGGGCCCCAAGTCCCAACGCCAGCAATCCAACCCTCCACGCCCGACGACGAGACCAGACGAGGACCGGTCGCCAGCCCAGCTCAAGTGCCAGAGCGGAACGCCCTCTCGGACGACCCCGGACGGGCCCTCGCTCGCTCGCCCGACCCCTTTAACCCTCTTCCACACTCGCTCCCTCTTCATAACTTCCCACAAACAACCTCTCCCTCCCTTTCCCTCGCCGACTTTGTAGACGCAAACACCACGACGACCATCATGTTTGCCGCGCTCCGAAACACGACCGCCGCCTCGTCGTCGTCGTCGCGGTCCGCCTTTGCGGCCTCGACGCTGCCGGTCCGCCGCACCTTTGCCTCGACCGCCCGCGCCGCTGCGCAAAAGGGCAAGGTGTACGACACGGCCGACGAGGCCGTCAAGGACATTCCCTCGGGCTCGACCGTCCTTAGCGCCGGTTTCGGCCTGTGCGGCACGCCCGAGACGCTCATCCAGGCCATCGAGAGGCAGCCCCAGATCAAGAACCTCACCGTCGTCTCCAACAACGCCGGCACCGGCGAAAAGGGCCTCGGTGAGTAGCCAGCGGCGTCGCGAGCGCGGCCCGATGACGCCAGCGCTGAACCCCCCACCGCCTCGCCCCCTCCTCGCGACCGCCAGGCAAGCTGCTCAAGTCGAGGCAGATTTCCAAGATGATTTCGTCCTTCATCGGCGCCAACAAGTACTTTGAGAACCAGTACCTGACGGGCCAGGTCTCGCTGCAGCTGACGCCCCAAGGCACGCTGGCGGAAAAGTGCCGGGCGGGAGCGTACGGCATCCCGGCCTTTTACACGCCGACGGGCTACGGCACGTCTGTGCAGACGGGCGAGCTGGTGGTCAAGTACCAGGAGCGCGCCGAGGGATCCAAGGAGCCGCTCAAGCCCGCCGAGATGGCCAAGCCCAAGGAGGTGCGCGAGTTCAACGGGCGCAAGTACATCCTCGAAGAGTCGATCTTTGCCGACTACGCCATCATCCACGCCTGGAAGGTCGACGAGGCCGGCAACGCCGTCTTCCGCTACGCGGCCAACAACTTTAGCGCCGCGTTTGGCAAGAACGCCAAGACGACCATCGTCGAGGCCGAGGAGATTGTCCCCGTCGGCGCCCTCGAGCCCAACGAGATCCAGCTGCAGTCGATCTACGTCGACCGCATCGTCCGCGCCACGGCCGAAAAGGAGATCGAGCTGAGGACCGTCTCGGACGCGCCCAAGAAGACGTCGTCGGCGGCAGCCAGCGGCACCGAGGCCGACGCCGCCGCCAAGCAGGCCGCCAAGGAGCGCCGCGAGCGCATCGTCACCCGCGCCGCAAAGGAGCTCCAGGACGGCGACTACGTCAACCTCGGCATCGGCATGCCCTCGATGGTGCCCAACTTCCTGCCCAAGGGCGTCAACGTCGTCCTGCACTCCGAGAACGGCATCCTCGGCATGGGCCCCTACCCCAAGTCGGCCGAGATCGACGCCGACATTGTCAACGCGGGCAAGGAGACTGTCACGCTGCTCCCGGGAGCTTCGACCTTTGACTCGGTCGACTCCTTTGGCATGATCCGTGGCGGTCACATTGATGTGACCATGCTCGGAGCCCTCCAGATCGGCTCCAACGGTGACCTAGCAAACTATATGATTCCCGGAAAGGTTGTCAAGGGGATGGGCGGAGCGATGGATCTGGTGTCGAGCCCTGACCACACCAAGGTGGTGGTGCTGACGGACCACGTCGACAAAAACGGGCGGCCCAAGATTGTCGACGAGTGCAAGCTGCCGCTGACGGGCAGCCGATGCGTGACGACCATCATCACCGACCTGTGCGTCTTCACCGTCAACCGCAAGCAGGGCGGCCTTACGCTCATCGAGCTGATGCCCGGCGTCACCGTCGACGAGGTCAAGGAGAAGACGGGCGCGCCCTTCAAGGTCGAGCTGCGCGCCTAGACCCGAGGGCCCTCGCTGGAAATCGCCCCGCGGCCCGCGGCCCGCGGCCCTGTAAATACACACAGCACCGTACTCTGTAGACTGCAACGCTGCTCACGAGATCTACCGAGCTGTGAGGTCGTCCGTGTCGTTGCGAGAGAGAGGTCGCGGGCGATCCGATCAGGAGGAGCATGGCTGCCCGGGAATATCTTTCAAAGGGGCCCGGCCGGGCGGGATGTGGAGAAAAGATGCACGCACGGTCGGGAGCGTGCAAGGGCCACCGTCCTGGAACGGGTCCGGAGCGGCGAGAGGCAGGCCTGGCCAAGCCGGGGGCGGGGCGGACAAAAATGGCCTACGCGGGCGGGCGCTGGATGAGTAGGCAAGCAAGCAAAGGCAGGGTGCCAGCCAGGCGGCGCGTTCCCCGCGCGTCCTCTCGACCTTGCCCGGCCATGCTACCTTGCTTGCCTTCCGCTCCCGCCCCTCCTCGGCCTTCCCCACGCATCCCCCACCCACGTACGCTCTGAGCCCTTGGCAAACCGCTACCGCTGCCGATCCGACATCTACGGCACCCGTCCACCGACCGCTTGCATCCCTGCCGTGGACCCCAGGCCGCTGCTGCCCGACATGGCCGCGCTCCGCCCCGTATCGACGCCGAAGCGCTCCGTCTCGTTTGGTCCCTCGGACGTCAATTCGATCAGCCAGGATCCTGAGACGCCCTCGTCTTCCAACCCGCTGCCGCCCTCGGCACAGACGACGCCGCCTGCGGCGCTCAAGCCGGCGCTCAAGGCCGGCACGGATCGCCGGAAGCTGCCGCCGCCGGAGCAGTACCAGCATCCCGACCCGCTGCTGCGCCGGCTGCGCCTGGTCGACGCCCACGGCGAGGCCGTCAACCTGCGCCAGATGTTCCGGGACACCAAGGTGGTCGGATTCTACTTTGCCAGCCAGTGGGCCGGCCAGCCGCTCAAGGAGTACCACCAGGCCATTGCCAACTTTAGCCGGCGGCACCCGCACGAGTTCAAGGCCATCTACGTCTCGGTCGACGTCGACGAGCAGTGGTACAAGGCCGGCACCGCCAACAAGCCCTGGATCAGCATGGTGTGGAACGACGGCTCCTCGATGCCCTCGGAGCGCCAGGACCGCACCTCGTCGGCGTCGCCCGAGCTCGAGGAGCTGCCAAAGCTCCACAACGGCGAAGACTTCCTCCTGGCCAACGAGACCGACATCGACGAGAGCCTCTCGCACACCGACCGCAGTGGCGAGGCCTACCTGCGCCCCTTTTCCCGCGTCCACCTGGCGGCCAAGCTCAACATCGTCGCCGCCCCCACGCTATGCATCTACCACCTCGAGAGCGGCAAGATGCTCGAGTGGAACGTCAGGATGAGCAGGCTCACCCAGAGCCAGGGAAAGGCCGACGAGACGTGGGAGCGGTGGAAGCGCGGCGAGAGGAGCGCCTCGTTTGGCCTGCAGGGTGAGTTCACCTCGGCGCATCGGATCGTCGCCGCACCGTCCACTTACCCATCATCTCGCGGCGTTCAATGCCCCGGCCCCGGTCCACAGATGCTCTGCTCAGCGCGCCATACACGCTGGCGGCGCTGGCGCTGGCCGTGGCCCTGTGGCTGGCCATCCTCTTTGGCGGCCAAGAGTTCAACGTGAGTCGCGCGTCTCGTCCTGACGCTGGGCTCTCCCGGCGTGGCACGCCATGCTGACCTCTGTCCGCTGCTCTCGCCCCTCGCAGATCGTGCGCAACATCTTTGACATCTTTGCCGGGTCCAGCCCGCACAACCAGGCCGCCTTTGTCCCCAATCCATGATGAGGCGCTGCGTCCCCGCTGTACACTCGCAATGGACAGACATGTTTGGTACGGTCGAATGCACGCTGTCGTCCCCGTCCATCGTCTACGAGCGGTAGTCTCCGTTGATCTGCAGCGAGGGATCCGGACGAGGCGCGAGCGGGTCAGCGCCGGGGTCTTGGTCGCTCTGCCGCATCGGGCGCCGGTGCAACTCACCGCCACGTATTCCTTGCTGAGATCGCAGGTCCAGTAGGTGGCCTCTTCGCGGGCCGAAGCGGCGGCCGCGCCGCTGCCGCCCTGGAGGTCCACCTCGATGCAGATGTCTTCCAACGCCAGCAGCCTGGCCGCCTTTTCCTCGTCGACCGGCTGGGGCGTGCCGTCCTTGAGCACCACCATGGCCTCGTAGCCGTCCTGGCCCCGCTCGCTGGCGAGCGCCGGAGGCGTGAAGGTCACGGTGACCTTGGACGGGTCGATCCTCCACGCCTCTTTGCCGGACGCCGACGCAGGTAGCGGGGCGTACCCGACGGCGCAAAGGATGCGGCCCCAGTTGGCGTCGCCGCCGTGCAGGGCGCACTTGACCAACGAAGACGTGGAGATGCTCGATGCGATCGCGTGGGCCGTCTCGTAGCTCGGTGCATTCTGTAGCGGCGGCGGAGGGGCGCGTCAGGACATCAGCGTCGTTCGTTTGTCACGGCGACAGCCGCCTGACCACGAAGAACGAGCGGAGGACCACGCGGCACTCACCTTGACCTTGATCTCGACAAACTTTTCCGCCCCCTCGCCGTCGCGCACGATGAGATGGGCGATCTCCTTGCAGAAGTCGGTCAGCTCCCGCTTGAAGGCCTCGTAGGACTGCGGATGGCTCGCTTCGGTGATCTCGTCGCCGGGCTTGACCTGCTCTCCGCCTGACGCAGCCGACGACGACGAGCGCGGGGCCAGGCCGTTGGCGAGGAGGAGGATCGTGTCGTTGGTCGACATGTCTCCGTCGACGCTGATGCAGTTGAACGAGCGCGAGACGGCATGCTCGAGCGCACTCTGCAGCGCGGACGGGTGGACGGGGGCGTCGGTGGCCAGCAGCCCGAGGAGCGTGGCGTGCAGCGTCGTCGAAGGGCCCGACATCGCGGGGTGGATCATTCCTGCTCCCTGTCGGATCAGAGGGCAGGGACGCAGTCAGGCTCATGGTTCAGCGCTCCGAACACGCACGGTAAGCCTGCGGATCGCTGCGCCTGCGGACGCACCTTGTCGATGCCGACGATGCTGCACTTCCGGCCCGCCAGCTCAAACGACCTGGCCCGCAGCTTGGGAAACGTGTCGGTCGTCATAAACGCCCTCGCCGTCTCGAGCCAGGCGTCCTTGTCGCCCGTCAGCACATTGCCGCTCGTCAGGTGCGGGATACACTTGCGGATCGCCTGCATCGGCAGCGGCACGCCAATCACGCCGGTCGACAGCAGGAGCGTCTCCTCCTTCTTCTTCTTCTTCTTCTCCGCATCGCCCTCGGACCTCGACAGGGCGGGCGAGAGGGCGTCCGCGACGAGGTCGCTGCACTCGACGGCATCCTTCATGCCCTGCTCGCCCGTGACGGCGTTGGCGCAGCCGCTGTTGACCAGGATCGACTTGATGCGCGGGCCCTCTGGCGTCTTTGCGCCGTCCAGCAGCACCTGCGACGAGACGACGACCGGGGCGGCCTTGAAGACGTTGCGGGTGAAGGTGCCGGCCGCTGCGGCGGGCTTGGAAGAGACGATCAGCGCGAGGTCCGGTTTCGGGCTGACCTTGGTCGTCGTAGAGGCAGAGGCGGATGCGTCTGGCACTGGCTTGGGGCTGATGGCGGCCTTGATGCCGGCATAGGTCGACGAGACGACAAAGCCCTTTGGCAGGTGCGCAGGGTCAATCGGCATCACGAACCGGCTCCACTTTGACGTCGAGGCCGACGGAGCGGCGGCCGAGGTCGACATGGCCCTCTGAGCCGCAAAGGAGGAGATTCGAGCGTGCAGCAGGCGAGCGGCCATCTTGCCAGGCTGGCGGTCGGAGAGGGGATGAGACAGAGCGGGTGGTGGTAGCGTGGAAGCCGTAGGCAGCGGAGTGGACAACAGCCGTAACGGAAAATTGGGTGGCGCGTGCAGGGCCATCAGCTGCACGAAAGGGCCCACCGCGACGAGTGACTCCACCAGGCTAGAGCTGTGAAAGCTGCACTTGCACCCTTACTCATGGTACCACATCAGCGACATGAACGCCTGTGTATCATCAATCAGGAGAATGCTGCAGCAGCCTAAATTGTTCTGTGGCTGCTGGCAACATTACTGAGTCCTCATCTACTGCAAACAGGAAGGGACACATGTTTGCTGGGCTTTTGTGCTGCTGGCTTGAAGGGAGAGGGCTGTGCATTAGTGAGCAAACCCTGTGATCCTTGCCTCCTCGTAGTTGGTGAATTTGAGTTTGTCTTTGAGAGCGCCGTCGTCGCTCTTGCCTGCACGGATGCGCATCAAATTGTATACCGCAATCCCCTCGGTATAGTGGCGGTTGAGGGTATCGGCCTTCATAATGTGATTGAGCAACATACGGGCCACCTCATCTCCGAAGAGGATCTTAAGGTGCGTTGCAAAATCATGTCGGAGACGGTGAAAACTGCCATATGGCAGACCGACTGCGTCGGTGTGCGTCTGCAGTGCAGCGCAGGCAGAACGCACATCCATCTCCTTGCATGATCTGTCCGCCCAAAGCATGCAGAAGAGCAGGTTGGCGTCTCTCTCTCCAATGTTGCCAACATCATCAGCCACAATTGATAGAGACAAGCTGAAGGCACTTGTACTTTACAAAGACTGACTGAACTCCAGAAAGCTGCACAAAGATACTCTGCTCAGCTGGAGAGAGGATGTTCTGATCTATGTCCATTGTACACCACCATGACAGGCTCAACAAGAGGTGGTCCTTGCTGTAGCCTCTCAGCTGCAGGAAGAGTTTCAGCAGACTCTTCCTTGGACCTCACAGGGCTTTCCAGACCTGCTCAGCCTTGGACACAAAGGCTTGTTGCTCTTGCCAACAATGTCCTGGAGACCAGCAAGGAGGACTGCAACCAGATGAGGCCTCTGCCTGAAGAGGTCAACAAATTCCCCCTCAAGCCGCTCAACAACACTTTCAACCTCATCATCAAGTGGCACCAGAAGTATCAACATACTCAACAAGTGTGAGCAGAACATCCTCGTTTGTCTGACTGGCTGTACTGCTACAAATTCCAAGCGCAACAACAAGTGATCCTACGAAGTCTGAGCGCAACAACAAGCGATCCTACGAAGTCCAAGCGCAACAACAAGTGATCCTACAAAGTCCAAGCGCAACAACAAGTGATCCTACGACGTCCTTAGAGCCGCATCAGTGGCAATGCGAAGCACTCCTGTACCGCACCATCGAGCACAAATCCACCCATTTGCTCGCTGTACACAGAGCATTGTCTGTGCTGCGAAAATTGCGAGCTGCAACCGGATGGACCGGCCATCAACAGAGAGGGGGTCTCCTCAACTACGACTATGTGACGTGCGAGGTTGGCTTTCGAGAAGCCGGAAAAGGTGGCGCCTGAGGCCCTCTAAAGGTGCGCCAATAGCGCAGAGGAAAACGGGTGTGAGTGTGCGCCGACGGCGCGGGTTGATCCTTCCACTTACGCCGCGCCACTACTGGCTCACGCTCCCGCTTTGTTGGCCTCCGGATCTCTGATCTCTGTCACGGAGTGCAGGCCAAGTACGGAACGACGGGTGCGACAGGCTGACCGAGAGTCAAGCTCGCCCAGCTCGAATGGTCAGCGAGAATGGCTGCCAAGGTCAGCTTGTCCTGGTGCAAACGAGTGATGTCCGTCACCTGATGCCTGCGGACGTGACATGGAGGTAAGGAATCCTCGTCTCCCTCTCCTGCCTCCTCGCTGCCTGCTGCAGCCATTGTCCGGACGATAACAGCAGCTGTCGCCTACATCGAATGCTGCCAGTCATCCTTCGCCACAGCGGCCTACCTCCCTTTCCCTCTTCCAGTCTAGCAATAGCGAGCTCGCCGGCCCCCCCGGATTGCGAAGCTCGAACTTGGACGACTCCTTGACTCGATGGGCCTCGGGCGGCGTCGCCAGGTACGCTTGTACTCTCTTGTCGGTACCTCAAACACGCCTCTGCATTGCATCACGTCGAATCCCTACTCGGTAGATAACTTGCGATCTGTGAGATGGGGGCGCGGATGACGGGATGAAGAGGCCAAGCGGGCGACATCGAGGCGCTGAGCGAGGGCGCGGGCAACGGGTGGGCATCGACCGCAATCGAGGGCGAAGCAGATCGCAGCGGCACTGCTGCCAGATCGCTCCGAACAGCAGCAGCTACGCGTGCCTCCTGTGTCGGCGCCCAGACATGCTCAGCCAGGAACTGCCCCTTTTGCCCCGTCGCCGTCAAGGTCTGCTCAACGCTCGCATCGCGTCTGACAATGGCATCCGAGACTTCTCTCCGCCACTCTGCCAGAAGTCATGACCTCGTGATCGACCGGGAATGCGAGTCTCTGCGGTCAGTATAAGGCCACCCGGGCCAGGCTGCAGCGTGGTTCGGGCAAGAGAGACAAAGAAGATTCAGCACGCGCACGCGCACCCGACCCGCGCAAACACCGAGATCAAGGACTGGGGGCATCAAGAGGAGGAGCGTCACCACACGCAGAGACCGTGGGATATGTCAACGACTCTCTATTCGGTCTCGATGGCGAACGTGAACTTGTGATGGTGCGTGAGAAGAGGCTTTTGTGCTACTGGACAGTAGAGAAGGAGAAGGGGTGCGATGTGGTACATGGTACAATGGGACGGCGATGCCTTGACAAAGGGTCAGGTGAAGGTGGGGACGCGCCAAAGAAAGGCGCAGGTTGCACTCGACGGCTTCGTGACATCTCAGAGATCATCCTCAAGGTCGTCGTCGTCGTCGCTTCTTTCGCTCGTCCCTCTTGGACACCTTCTTCTCCCTCTTCTTGAACGCGGCATTAGCCGCAGCGTGGAGGTGGCGGCCAAGAGTCGAGCAGCGCCAGCGCCAGCAGCGCACAGGCGGGCGGAACGGATGCGGTGGACTCGGGTGGCGCTGGTAGCAGTGGCAGCGGGGGCCAGTAGGTCGGCGGATGGCTAGCGGCAGGACAAAGAAGACAAGGAGAGGCACGGCAAGGGCATCAGCGAGCGCCTCGGACGACCACAGCAACCAGCAGCATCACGGCATCACAGCCGCGGCCTCGTGAACTTACCAAGCAATGAAACGTTGTGATCTTACTTTGCTGGCAGCTTGTGGGTGGCGTGGGTCGGCCGTGGCGGTTGATGGAGCGAGTCAGGCGAGTCGGGCGAACGGCGAGGGTACGAGGGTGCGAGTTGAAGCAAAGAGGGGGATAGGCAAGGGCGTCGAGCGGGCTGCAGAGCAAAGCAGGCGGAGCGGATGGATTGACGGCTGGATCAGCAGCAAGCGTGGTGGTAGTAGAGAAGAAAGGAACCTGCGATTGGAAGACTCACCTGAAGTGGGCGCACACGCGGCCGTGCCCCGACGTGATCGGAGGCGCCCCAAGCCTCCGCCCTCGTGCTGGCTCATCTCACAAGGTGCATCTTGAAGGTGGCGTGGCGGTTGCCCGAGGGCAGCATGATTGCATTGGCAACAAGAGCGGTTGCCGGGAGGACTCGGACCTGGCCTTGGGCACGGGTATCGACCAGCACGGAGTCGAGATGGTCGAGTCCGGCGTTGCCTCCGCTTTCGCTGTCGCTGCCGCTTCCGCGGTCGCTGTCCTCCTGCTGCTCTGTCTTGAGGATTCGGGCCCGGATGAAGATGTTGGAGACGTCTTCTTGCTGTGCAGCTTGCTGCCCCAATGCCCGCATGAAGGTGTGCTGAAAGATGTCGAGGATCTCGACTGCCTGTGCGACCGCTTCTGGCGCTTGTCGGACGAACGCGAAGAAGTTGCCGACGGAGGCGTTGCGCCGCGATCCGGCCGAGCAGAAGTCGAGCTCGTTGCAGAGCACGCCGGCGTAGCAGGTCACAAGGCCAGCGATCCGAGTGAGGCCTTCGGGCACGAACAAGGTGTCTTCGACGTACGCGGGCTCGTCAGGCGCACGCTACGCTTGAAGCAAAGCAAAGACTTGCTGGAAAGCGGCGGTGCTGAGGCGGATCTGCCCAACTTGACTGGCATCCGAAGGATCCGAGCAAAGACTTGGGCTTGGACGGCACGGCTTGCCGATCTCGATGCGGTCCAGATAGCCGTAGAACGGGAGGTAGCGTTCTGTTGCGACGTTGCTGGGGCCACGCGGCCGCTCGAGCAGGAGCCTGCGGGTGCTGTCTGTTGCCATGGTCGAGATGGCATCGTCCAAGACGCCGCGATCGTGCCACAGTCGAAGCAGGGACCGTTCGACTTCGCCTCGGTGTCGGTTCAAACGGCGCACCATCTGCGTGAGGGATGGATTGCCTTGCTCGAAAGGGAACGCCCAGAACGAGCAGGGGGGACCAAAGGCACGGATGTGCTCCCAAAGGTGTTGCAGGTAGTGCGAGTTGGGTGTGAGGAATGGTACCTCGGCGAGCGCTGCGACAAACGACCGCACCCATCCCTCCGCTGCATCGACATCTTCTGCTGCCAGCACACCCTTGCAGAAGATGGCAGCAAAGCGAGAGAGGGGGAGGGCGAGCCTCTGGATGATCCAGCCTCGGTGCAGCAAGCGATGGAGGTCCTTGGCCTTAGGCGGCGCGTCCGATGCTGCTGTGCGGCCGGGGCAAGCAGATGTTGATGGCCCGGGGCCTTCTGGGTTGTCGTCGAGGTCGGAGTCATCGATGCTGGCGCCATGGGTGTCCTCTGCAGCATCCTCGACGAGTTGTGTCTCGCCGCCGCCTGCCGCTGATGCCGAAGTTGCAGCCCGCTCTTTGTGCTTGAACTTGAGCTTGACCCAATGGCGGCGTGCACTCGACCGTATCTTGGGAAACGGCTGTTGCTGCGTGAGGCGGTCGACTTCCTCTTTGCACCGGCGGTAGTTGGCGACAGCATCTGGCCATAGGCCAACGAGCAGGTCTGGCAAGACTTTGGCCAGGGTGGCGAGCTGGGCCGCTGTTGGCGAGCCTCTGGCTGGACTTCCGAGGAGCGGCGGGATGGGGGCAACGCCGCTTGGCACGACCAAGGCCTCGAAGCGGCTCTGCAAAGTCTTGAGCTCGGTCTTGGACAGGACGCCGGCATCGACGAGCAACCGATGCCAAAGCCTCTTGACGCTGCCAAGGAGGACAGCGTGCATGGCATCCACAGGGCACGACTTGACGCTGCTCCAATACGGCAGACGGTACAGGTCGGTCCAGACCGCTCCCGTCGTCTTGCTGCTGCGCTCCTGGTCTTTGGCTGGCTGCCATCGTGCGGCCTCGGCCTCTTCGCGGTGCTCCTCGGGATCACGGGCTTCAGGCGAAAGAGCAGACGGGCTTGAGAGCGGTATGGCGCCTCTGGCAAGCTGCCTTGAGGAGACGAGCCGCCGGGAAGGTGGTCCAAGTCGGCCTCACTGCGTGGCGTGCTGCTGCGTGAGCGCCGCTGCTCGTGGCTGGAGCTCTCAGAGGCATCGCTCGAGTCGGAAGGGTAGCTGGTGTCGCTGATGGCGGCGTCAAAGTCGACTTGCGCCTGCAAGAGCTCCACCTCGACGTCGGCCGCTTGTAGTTGCGATGGCTGCACGTCGCTGTCGCTGGCGAGAGGCTCGGGCGACCCTGCTGACCCAGGCTGCGCATCGGCATCGTCCGCAAAGTCCATCGCCCCATTGCCTTCCATGTCTGGGCTCGGGCGGTTGGCAAACGGTGTGGGCGGCACGACGGCGGCCAGAAATGGTGCTGGAGCCGCTCTTGGTGACGGAACTGGTGCGGCCTGCGCTTCGCTCTCAGCTTCTCAAGCGCGGGCTATCTCTCCAGCGTGGTTCAGTCGATCGCGAGCCATGTGTTGTTGCTGCGTGCGTGCGTCCCGCGGGTGACCATTGCAGCCAATGGTGGTGCAGTAACAGGGCACTTTGGGCGTTGCGGCCGAGCGAGGCATGACGGTGAGTTGACGGTGAGCATAGAAGTGACGCTGGATCGAGATGAGGCCCGCTGACGGACGCTCGCGGTGCGGCGTGAGACAGGCTGATGGTAGCAACGTTGCTAGGTGAGGATGATGGTGAGAGGAAGGCGGAGAGGCGCGGCCAAGCAGAGTACTACCATCAGCTCAGGTCTACTAGAGCACGGACCAGCAGGCATCACTCGGGCGAGAAATGGCATTCCAGCTCGCCCTGGCGGCAGGCCTAGGTGGCCTTGGCAAGTACTACCGCCAAGGTACGTGCGAGGCGGCATTGGCGGCACCTCGATGGTGGGGCGGCCAAGTCAGCATCGCGCCAGCGTCAAGGTGCCGCCAATGCCGCCTCGGAGGCACCTTCGGGAGGCCTACAAGATGCGCGTTTCTTCTGCTTTGAGTGTGTGTACAGACGGGCTCGTGCCGTGACCGATGATGATTCCCCGTCATACGCAAGGCTTTGCAGCCAGGCGGCCATACCAGCTCCTCTTCCGAGGGTCTTCCGAGGGTCGAGTCGTGTCAATCTCTATTCGCGATGGATCAGGTTCTGTGCTGCGAGCGGAAACGCAGAGAAGCTATGCGGTACACGGGTACAACGGGACGGGAACAGCGACATGCCGTGCGGTGGTGGGCTGGAGACGATGCTGACAGGGCCGGGCAGACCACCATCTCTTCAAAGGTCCTCGACGTCATCGTCGTCCTCGACGCCTTGCCTTTTCTTAGCCAGCCTTTTCTTCCTCTCGTCCCTCTTGGACACCTTCTTCTCCTTCTTCTTGTACGCGGGGTTCGGGATCTTGTTGCCCATCGCGTCAAGAATCCACTCCTCAACCGTCCCCTCATCCTCGCCCAGCTTCGTTCCTCGCGCATTGGTTTCCTGCCAGTCGTGGCCGGAGGCGACGAGGGTACCGTTGTCCATCGACCAGATCTCCTTGCAGGTGTTCTCGGAGAACTCGCGGCTGTTGGTGAGGGCAAAAGAGGGGGGGAGAGTGTCAGCGGTGTTCGGGAGGAGGGCGGGTGACGGCGAGGGGGCAACTCACGAGTGGGTGATGATGGCGACGCCTCCCTGGTACGACTCGATGGCCTTGATGAGGGCGGCGAGCGACTCGCGGTCCAGGAAGTTGGTGGGCTCGTCGAGGATGAGGATGTGGGGCTTGCGCCAGGTGGCGGCGCCGAGGACGACCTTGACCTTCTGGCCACCGGAGAGGCCGCGCATGGTGTTGTGCGAGGTGAACTCGCGCTCGAGGCCAAAGTCCTCAAAGTGCTTCTCGATCTCCTTGCGGACGAGGGGTCGGAGCATGCCGGCGCGCTGGGCCTCCTTGGAGTCGACGGCCATGACCTTCTTCTCGAAGCCGCGCTTGAGCAGCTCGTCGCGCGAGAGCCAGATGTTCTCGGTCGACGACATGTTCTTGAACGACACCTCGTACTGGAACGAGTTCTTGAGCTTCTTTCGGCCGACGATCTCGTCGATGACGCGCTTGACGCCCTCGTGGACGTAGACCTCGCCGTGCTTCATGGCGGCCTTTTCCTCGTCGGTGATCTGACGGGTGGCCTTCATGTGCTCCTCGAGGTCCTCGCCGGTCTGGTAGCGCCACAGCATGTAGTCGAGCGGGGTCTTGTCGAGGTGCTGGTCGATGTGGTGGAAGGCGTGCTGGGCGACGTAGCCGATGACGAGGTTGGGGTGCTTCCAGGCCTCTCCCGCGTTGGGCTCAGTGTCGCCGACGACGAGCTTGACGAGGGTCGACTTGCCGGAGCCGTTGGGGCCGAGGATGGCGACACGCGAGGCGAGCGAGAGCTGGAGCGAGACGCCCTTGAGCTGGGGCTCGGGCGTGCCCGGGTACTGGAAGTGGATGTCCTTCATCTTGACCAGCGACTTCTCCTTGGTCTTGACACCGTCGAGCAACGGCGGGTCGGGCAGCTTGAAGCTGTAGTCGTCGCCCGTGTTGAGCTCGGCGTAGGCCTTGGCCTCGGGGACGCGCTTGACGAACGCGTCGAGGTTGCCGGGGTATCGCTTGATCTTGAAGCGGTTGAGGTGGAGGATGTCGGTGCAGACGTCGTTGAGGAACTGCGAGTCGTGCGAGACAATGATGGCGGTGGCGGTGGTGAGGCCGGCGAGGTAGTCGGTGATCCACTTGACGTTGACGACGTCGAGGTGGTTGGTCGGCTCGTCGAGGAGCAGGATGTCGGCCTTGAAGAGGATGGCGCGGGCAAGGGCGACCTTCATCTTCCAACCACCGGAGAGACCGGCGATGGGCGATGCCTGGCGCTTGTCGTCGAAGCCCATCTCGCGGAGGGTGGTGACGGCCTCGTCGCGGGTGATGTTGAGGCGCTCATCGGCCATGATGTAGTCGATGATCGAGATGAGACCCTCGGAGCCGTCGAGGTCGTGCTCGACGTACCACGTGCGGACGACGTCGGGCGAGGGGAAGCCCTCGACCTGGCCGTTGGTGATGGCGCGCATGAGCGTCGACTTGCCGGAACCGTTGCGGCCGCAGAGACCGTAGCGGTGGCCACGCTTGAGGCGGAGGGTGGCGGTGTTGAGCAGGATCTTGGCACCGTAGGCGAGCGAGAACTGGCAGTTGCACAGGTCCTCGCCCTCCTCCTCGTCGTCAAAGATCTCGACCTCCTCGCCAGACTCCTTGGCGAGCTCGTTGAGCAGCGCCTTGACGACGGCCGAAGCCTGCTCGGCGGTGGCGCCCTTGGCGAGGGTGACGTAGGGGACGAGCGCCGACTCCCACTCGGTGGGCTCAAAGTCGCGGGCGTTGGTGAGGTTGGTGGCGAGCTGCGCGATGTAGGCGGTCAGCTGGGGCTGGGCCGACAGCTTCTGAGCCTCGAGCGCCTTGGTCGTCGACTGCGTGACCTTCTTGAGGTCGGCCTCCTCGAGGGGCTTGGCGTCGGAGCCGTCGCCGGTGACGTTGCCGACGGAGCGGAGCGTGGCGATGGCGCGGTTGACGACCGAGCGGGCCTCGGGGTCGGCGATCGTAGGCTCGATCTTGACCAGGCCGGGGAGCAGCTTGGGCAGGAAGGGGCGGACGGTGCGCTCGTTGTCGACGAGCTTGGTCATGTTGTCGATGATGACGGCGACCTTGCGCTTGGTGGCCGTGGGGCGCTCCGAGAGACCACGCGAGAGCAGGGGGACCATGAGCGCCAGCGTCGGGCTGTCGACCTCCTGGACAAAGGTGGTGGCCGAGAGGAGCATGATAGTCTTGGGAACCTCCTCGACGGGGTGAATGAGCGAGTTGATGAGGGCCGGGATGAAGCGCTCAATGTCCTTGTTGGAGATGAGGGCGCAGAGCTTGGTGAGGGCGGCGCGCGACGCCTTCTGGACGTCGGTCTTGGTGTCCCAGATGACCTCGGTCATGACGGGGATGATCTCGGGCATGTGGGCGGCGATGCGGTCGGGGCAGGCGACGACCATCTCCTCGAGGAGGGCGATGCAGCCGGTCTTGACCTGCCACTTGCCGGCGGTGCGGGCCTGGTTGAGGAGGACCTTGAGGACCTGGGGAGCGGCCCAGTTCGACATGATCTGGACAAAGCTCTTGAGCGCCTCGAGGGCGGCCTTCTGGACCGCCTTCTCCTTGTCGCCCATGGCCTCGACCATGGCGGTGAGGACGTTCTCGTAGATGAACGGCTCGACCTCGTGGCCGACGCCCTGCTCGCAGAGCGACGAGACGAGCGCACAGGCACCCTCGCGGCCAGCCGCGTTCTTCTTGTCGCCAAGGCCCTTGAGGATGACGTTCTCGATGCCGAGGTCGGCAAGGGCCGAGGGGCCCTCGATCTTGACCAGGTTGGTCAGCTCCTGGACGGCCTCCTTGTCGGCCGACGACAGCAGGCGCTGGACATCGACCTTGGCCTCCTTCTTCTCGGCGGAGCTACCGCTCTTGGCGGCAGACGCGGCCGAGGAGCCCTTGATGTCCTTGGCGGGGACGGTGGCGGGGACGCCAGCAGCGGCAGGGGTGGCAGCGGGAGCCATTTTGGGCGCTGTGGAGCGGCACGGGGCGCGGTACCAAGGAAGGAGACGCACGTCAGCAAGGCCGAAGCACAGAAAAGTCGATGGGACGCGCGCCGCCACCTCGGTCGACGGTATCGATACTCACGAATTTTGGCGGTGGAGGAGGGTGAGGTGGAACTGTGCCCGGATCGACTGGGAACAGATCTCTACACGGCGATCGTCGGGATCGATGTAGAAGGGTAGTCACCGAGTGCTGGTAGTACGGTGACGCTGCGGTGCTCTACACGGGTGATGGAGAGCAGGCGGGTGCGGATAGCGCGGATAGCTCCCAGTTGTTGGTGCTGGCAGCGGGAACGGAGCAAGGGATGATGGTGGTGCCTAAGGTGGCGTGGTATAGATGAAGGAGGAGGAAGAAGGGAAAGGGGCGGACGAGGCGGGAGGGGACTTTGATACCGGGGTCGTAGCGGACGATGATTGGTGGACGGGGGGCCTCTTTTCTAGGAAAATTTTTCTCGCACAGCGGCTGGTTGTGCTCCCCTGCGGCCGTGGCAGCAGCGTCACCTCTCTCGCACTTGAGGGCCGTACAACGGGCGCACGACGAGGGGCCAAGCAAGGCAGGCAAGGTGGCACGGCGCCATGGCCCGGCGCAGCGTTCGTGTCCCCCTGCCTGGTGGCAAGCGCCCCCCCTCTTCCCGCCCAAAGTTTTTTTTTTCCTTCTTCGCACCGGCGCAGCATAGCGCGTCGCCACACACAGCCGTGCCTGCCATGTTGAATTCGAATCAGGAATCCCGGGCGGGCAGACCAGCAGAGGCGAACTTTTTGCCATCATCGCCCGCCGAGGCGCGGGGGCAAAGGGGCGAGGGGTTGTCGGTGTTGGTTTGTGAGCTGGCGGGTCAAATCGCCCACACGCGCTAGAGGGTTAGGAAAGTTTCCTGGGCGGGCGGCCCCGGCGAAGCGGCCGTCGTGCCTGCCTGCCTGCCTGCCTGCCTGCCAGCGGGACAAAAAGTTTCGTGCGCGCAAGGAGAGGCGGGTCGGTTTGTATTCGGCTGTGGCGGTTTGAAGTGGGCCCTTTGATCGTCATCGCCCGGCGTTTGTATTCCACGGGCCTTTTTTGGGTGGAAGCTGCGTGAAATTGCCGGATCGACGGGATGCGTGCTCCCGGCCGACCGCCCGTCCGATTCGCCCGATGGTCGCTCGTCTGGCAAGCAGAGGGCCCTCGCTCGGATCCGCTCACGCACAATTTTGCCGCGCCACCCGGTCGGATCTTGACCCTTTCGTCTCCATCAACGGCGACGACCAGCATGCCTCGACGAGCCTACCGCGCAAGGACGCAAGCGTAGTCCTGGCTTCTCTGTGGATGCATCGCATACCGGTCCCTGGTCTTGTCTGCTCGTCACTCGACAAAGCCGGGCGTGGGGGGTCTTGGGACGGCGAACGAGTTCGAAACCGCCCAGATTCGAGAGAGGAGCGGGCGCCTCAAATCGACATTCGACGCCGACGACGTTCCGTTCCAGCCACGTCGGCCATCCGAGCAGCTGCCTGGGCAGGACACACAAAGTTTTACCAAACGACGGGCTCGACGCAACCCTTGAACCCTGGCCGCCTACCCCGCAAATCTGTCGACGTACGTCCTAAGCTAAGTACAGTGCTAGGCTGGGGCGGTGCTGGCGTACATACATGAGCCCGCGACGTTCCGCACGTCGATCTTTGCAGCGCAGCAGGCGAGTTCGATGGGAGCACGAGAGCAGCGCAGGCGGGTGCGGTACCGTACGCGGAGCGACCAGCTGGGTCCACGTTCGGCGATGGATGTAGCCGCGCCTGGCCGCGGGCTAGCGTTTGGGATTGCGGGCGATGCCGACCCAAGGGCCATGCCTCCTCCCCCGCATTCCTGGGCGCGCAGATCGCCCGTGGCTCGAAGGAAGTCGTCGGCGTCGAACAGTAGAAGGCGATCCGCCGTCCCTTCGAGGAGAACAAGGTGATCTTGCGCTCTCCTGTCCTCGTCGCCGTCGCCGCGATCGAGACGCAAGGAAGAGGCACAAGGCGTCGCAAAGCATGGCTGGCGATCCATGGTACGGCAAACGTACCGACCCCAGCTCGGCGTGAAAGCCGCAGCTTGCGCAGAGGTGCCAAGCAGGGGCATGCCCGAGTGTAGAGTTCGGGCCCCAATCGAGGCCCCCTAATCGGCCTTCCCCTGGCGTGCGGCCTGAAATCGCCGGTTCAATGGCACGTTCATCGATGAGCAGCGGACGGACGGAGGCCGACTGGCCGACCGAGGTTCGACCAAGCGCCCCAGCTACGGCGGTACCTAGGATTCCAAATCAGCCTGAAACGTGATGCTCCTGGGCAGGGCTTCGGGTCGGGTCGGTCGAGGTAGGGGTGAACAGACAGGCAAAGGGGGCAGGAGGCAGCCAAGCGGGAGAGTGCTGAACTGAAAGGCTGGCTCCCTTCCTCGAGATGTCACGCCCGAGGGCTGATAGGAATTCGAAACTTTTGGGGCCCCGGTTCGGTCATCGTCGGGACGGCCCCGTCCCTTCTTCCATCCATCGCTGAGGCGGGGCTAGGTACGCTGCTTCACCGTTGTGATAAGGATCAGGAGATGAGCGAACCCTCGACGATGATGCATCGCTGTCAGTTCGAGACCGCCGATGGGAGGACGAGCCAGGAAGACAAACCAGGCGGGCGCAGAAAGGGAAACCCCGCGTTGGAAGCTGTACGTATGTACCCCGCACCGCACCGCAACTGCCAGGTCATCATCAGCTGTCATGCCCGTTGGTGCGAACCCTAGTCGGCCTGGTCTGGCGGTAACTATCCCACGGGACTACCCTAGCTACTATTCAATGCACCCGGCACGGTGCCCTGCCAGGCCGTCTGTCTCGGCCTTGCTCGGCGAAGAAGAGGAGATAGACAAAGAAGCTACGGCGAGCGAGCGTCGCCGTCGGGACAGAGGCGGGTCAACTTCCCCCCCTTCGACCTCGTCACTACTGTGGCCGGCCGGGACTTGACTGGCTCAGTCAGGGTGGCAAGCAGACGCAAGTGGGGAAAGGGAGGGAGGAGTCTCGAACCGTGTGGCAAAGTGTTCCGTAGACGGGAGCAAGTGGGCCGGGGAGCGCTGAAGCAAGCTTGGCATGCCGGCATCGGGGGCCAGACGTCAAGACTCGCTGGCCTTGCTGTCGTCCGAGTCACGGTACCGGCACATGCGTTCACCCGCCACTCGAGCATGGGCACTGACCCGTTGACATGTGGAGAGAGGCGGGGAGCGAGCTGCGACTGCACCGAAGCAGCTTGTCAAGGGCCAGGGCCAGGGCCAGGGCCAGGGCGGGCAGGTAAGCGCGGCCGCCCCCGCCACCCTCCGGGATCCTCGCCTACGGTACGCGACCGTGCCCGTGACGCCATCGACTCCGTCATGGTCGACCCGGACCCCAGCTGACCAGCTTGCACAATATGGCATGCCTGCTCCCAGGCGGTTCGAGGTGTAACTACTGTATCGCAGCGGCACCAAAGCCTGGATTCATCATTGACGCCACGCCAACCCGACAGCTAGGCAGGTACGCACAGCAGGTCCAGCACGGCACCCGCTAATCCTCGTCCATGTCGTCGAGCTCCTTGATCTGCGCCAGCTCCTCGCCCTTGCCAAACGCATTGTCAAACTCGTCATCCTCGTCGTCGTCTTCGTCATCGCCGCCACCGCCATCGCCCTCGTCGTCGTCGTCGTCGCCCTCGCCCTTCTCGACCACCTGACCCGTGCTGTCGATGCGAAGCTTGCCTTCCATGAGCCGTTCAAACGTCTCGCGCTCCTTTGCCTGGCGCGACTCGATGTCGCTCAGATCCCACAGGCTCACCCCGTTCTTGCCTGGGTTTTGGCGAGGCCGAGCAGCCAAGTGACAAAAGAGATGTGAGGTGTTAGCGATCTGACTGTGTGGCATAACGAGGACTCGGTGGAAGCCGGTCAAGCGATCGGCCGTCTGACCCACCTTCGGGGAAGGGCTGGCCCATCGTCCGGATAAAGAGCTTCGACTCGACAATGGCCATGTCGGTCGAGAGGTTGCTGTGCGGCTCCGTAATGTACTGCGCGATCCACTTTGGCAGCTTGGCCCGCTTGTCGGCCCTGGCAAAGCGCTGTGGCGGCGGTCGACGGCGAAGGGCGAGATGGTCAGCCCGGCTCGACTCAGCTCGAAGCGCAGCCGTCGGCACTCACCTTATCGGCAAACACCATCAGGCCGTAGTCGGTCTTTCCGCGCAACACACGCCCCACGCACTGGGCGGCGTGTCGCATGGCGTCGAAGGTCAGGAAGTCGTTTTCGCGGATGCGGAAGTTGTCGCGCAGGAACTCGAGGCGAGCCTTGAGGATGCGCGACTCGGTGTACTGGTACGGCACGCCAAACATGATTACGGCGCGGCCGTAGTTGTGGTCGAAGTCGATGCCCTCCGACACCTTGCCACGCGCGACCGAGAGCAGGATGGCGCCTCGTCCGTTATCGCAGGCCTGCAGCGGATAAGGCCAAGAGACGAGGGGGTAAGTCAGTCAGAAGTTGCGCTTGACCGGCCGGGCCGTCACAGCGTGCTCACCCTGCGGTAATTTTCGAGCGCGATGCTCGTCTCGGGCGCGTCGGGCGTCTCGATAAAGATGAGCTTGTACTTCCACACCTCGTCGAGGATGCCCATGTCGTGCCAGGCGGCGACGATGCTCTCCATGTAGAGGTACGAGGGGAAGAAGGCGACGATGCCGTCCGGCATGCACTTGGCGTACTCGATAAGGATGCTTCCGTAATTGCGCACGACGGCCGGGTCGTTGCGCACCTCGAAGCGCGAGCTGATGGCCACCTGGTCGCTGCCGCGCGTGATGACGAGCGGCAGGAAGCACTGGCGCGTCAGCGTCATGGCGTAGCTCTCCTGCACCACGGTGTCAAACTTGAGCATCTTGGGGTACATGTCGAGCGGGCTGATGGTGCCGCTGGTGATGATGACGCTCGAGAAGCGCTCAAAGATGGGCGCGATAGCCAGGCTGGCGTCGAGGCAGGTAAAGTGGAAGATGGGGTTAGGCACGGTGGCGTGCTCGGTCTCGAACGGCTCGAGGATCAGCAGGAAGCCCTTGTCATAGGTGGCCACCAGCGTCGCAAACGCCGCCACCTTTTGCAGCGCCGAATACTCGTCGAGCCGCGTCAGCTCGAGCGTGCTGACGAGCATCCGTAGCCGCTCGGCGCAGAAGCGCAGCGGCTTGCGCTCGATGTAGGTGATGTCCTTGAGGTGCTGCAGGAAGCTGGGCGGCGTCTCGGCCACGACGTGCAGCACCCGCATCCTCGTCTTGAGGTACTCGACAAAGCGCTTGAGGAAGGCGACAAAGTGCTCGGCACGCCGGATGTTGCCGGGCACCGCCTCCTGCAGCAGGTCCTCGGGCAGCACCGGGTTCGACATGAACGTCTCGGCCTCGCGCTGGTCGCCCTGCTCGGCCAGCCCTTCGACCAGCCGTGCGTACTCGTCCTGCAGCTTGCCCGCGTCCGTCCGCTTGATCTCCTCGACCCTCTCGGACAGCTGGTTGATGCTGCGGTACGCGCTGTCCAGCATCGGCCGCGTCAGGTCGATGCTTAGCGACTCGATGCAGACGTTGTCTGCGGGACCGGAGCCGGAGAGGAAGCGGACAGAAGGGGGCGACCGGCCCGTTGAGCGCGAGGCAGAAGACCGCTCGCACGCAGGCTATCGACTCACCAATGTTGTGGGCCTCGTCGAAAACGACGATGGCGTCCTTGCTCATCTCCTTGCTGACCTGCTCGGCGACCTTTGGGTCGAGCAGGTAGTGGAAGCTGTAGATGATGATGTCGACAAAGGGCAGCATCCTTCGGATGGCAAAGTAGGGGCAGATGCCCTTCTCCCTGGAGTACTCCTTGACCTCCTCGAGCGTCCACACGCCCTGAGGGATCAGCTGGCCTGGCTCCATCTTGCCCAGCTCCTGTGACGACGGCAATCGTGGCGATGCGAGTGGTCAGCGTCAGGGGCCGCGTCCATAGATGCCACGGCCTACATGGGTAGCGCCGGCTCACCTCGTGGAAGTCGCAAAGCTCGACGCTGCCGGGGTCCTGCCTGCCCTTTTCGCACGCCCAGGCGCTCGTCATGTCCCTGCAGCGTGCGTCGACGACCTTGCCCTTTCTCTCGCGGCCGACGCTCGGATGGATGCAGAGGTTCTTGCGGCTGCTGAGCCCGAGGGCGAGGATGTCCTCCATCTGGCCGCCCGCCTTGCCGCGGCCCTTCATATCGATGCTGTAGTCGCCAGGGCCGTTGGAGCCCGAGGCCTCGTTCTTGGCCACCTCGGACTCTTCGCCTTCGGGTACGTTGTAGCGCGCCCGGTACTCCATCAGCCGCTTGAGCTCCGCCAGCGCCTTTTCAATCTCTGGCACGGTTCGCGAGCAGTAGATGAGCTTCCTCGACGCCGGATGAAACTGCAGTGGGCGGCCGGTGGAGATCGAGAGACGAGTCAGTGGCGCGCTGTGGTCGAGACAGGGGAAAGAGGGGGAGGGAAGGGTTGGAGCGCCTTTGAAGAGACTCGGCGACGCACCTTTTGGTAGCTGACGATCAAGCTCAGCAGAGACACGGTCTTGCCGGTGCCCGAGGGCATCTCGAGGACGCAGTGGCCGTTGGCGTCGAGCGTCCTCTTGAGATCGGTCATGTAGGCATATTGCTCGGCTTTAGAGTGGCGTGGCGAGAGTGCAGCGGTCGCTGTCAGTACGGAGCCGTGTAGCCCATCCTCGATCCCGATGAGCCATGTTGAGCGTTCGAGGCGACTTACGGTAGATTTTGGGATAAGGGAAGAGGACGGGCAGCTCGTCGATGTAGAACTTCATGGTGGCGTCGTTGGCGGGTCGTTCCGCTTTGCGTGCGTCGCAGCGAGCAGATGTGAATGCAGCACAGAGGTTGCCTGGTAGCGACAGGCAGAGAGGGGAGAGGATCTGGCGCAGGGATCAGGAGACAAAGGAGCCGAACAAGGGGATGCCCAGGCGGTTGAGACGATGGTGGCAAGGCAGAGAGTCGGAGTGGCCGCTGCGCACAGGCGACAGCTACAAGCAAGACTGAAGAGACAGACGCAGCGTCAGTCAGTCAGTCAGTCAGTCGGTCGGCGCGTCGATCCAGGTGCAGCCCATGTGGAGGAAGGAGGCTGGCAGGCTCAGGCAACAGCGCTGTTGCAGCTCCTTGTCTGTGCATCAAGGCCTTTCAATCACACACTTGCAGACTCTGCAACAAGGCCCTGGTCCCAGGCTGCACCTTCATGTCCCTGCCACTGGCTCTCCTGTAGGATGATGACAGGGCTTGGCTTGTACACCTTGAGGATGTCTTCTTGGTCATCAAGGAGCTCAAGCAGCACTGTTGATATCCCTACACACACATACCATCTCCCTCAACCCCTTCAGGTACAACATCTGCCTTAGGCCTGTCCAATGTCAGCAAGACCCCGGCCTTACCAGCCTTACCAGCCTTACCAGCCTTACCAACCTCAGTCACCAGCCACCATCATGAGCACCTCCAACTTCCCCACGAGCTCCTACCCTGAACCTTTCTTCTACCCCAAGGACAAGTAAAAGGCATTCAAAAAGGCGTGGAGTGCAAGCCCCAAAAGTGCCAAGACACACAATGTCAGCACAGAGATCACCCTGGCAGGCTGCAACAGCACATGTACCCTTGGACAGGCTGCTTCAAGCATGCTGCTGGGCTGGCTGGCATCAGCTCATGTATCAAGGTGGCCTGAGGGATGATGCAACAAGGCAAGAGGATGGACTCAAAGCTTTGAGCCCAAGAAGGATGTTGATGTCCTCTGCAGCAGGAAAGCTGGACAAGATACTTGTCCTTCTTGCAACCAAGAAGAAGGTCAAGGACTGTTGTCAACACTTGCAACCAAGAAGAAGGTCAAGGACTGTTGTCAACATTGCTGCAGCCTGGGCACAGCCAAGCCCTGCCACCAGGTGTATGGACAGACAGATGTGGAAGCTCCTGCTAGGAAGCTGCTGTGCCAAGGAGGTCAAACCGCTGCGCAAGTTCAAGGACTTTGGGGCACAAAACAGCTCCCCCATCACAACCATCCTTGTGCACACGATTGAATGGAGGAAGGGCAACTTCAACAAGTGCCATCTCACCGGCCTCCCCCTCTTTGGCCTATATGACAAGCCAACATTCCACCCTCTCCTCAGGTTGCCACTTGCGCACAGACTCCATGGCCTGCCGATGAGTCACAGGCTCAAGACCAAGTTCCCAGAGTCTCTCAATGACTTTGATGACAAGGTCTGCAACACATGCGTTGAGAGCTGGTACGCCAACTCGTACCGACAGGGATTCCGATGCACCCAGGCCACCATTGAGCAGATCTTTGAGTTTGGTCTCCACTTTGCCCAGCACGCTTGGGGACCTCTCGCACACCTCACCCTGCCTGAGGCTGACCTGGACTGCATCAGCGCTTACTACCACAAGCAAAGTGCTTCCTGTCTGATGACAAGTACTTAGGCCAGAACATGCTCTCTCAGGCTGAGCAGAGTGTTTTTGTGCAGGCTTCCAGAGTCCAGTCTTTGTAGGATAGTCCTTCTGCTTGCCTCTTGCTGCTGTATCCATGAGCTTCGTGCAATCATCATGTAAGTGTCCCACATCATGCGTCTTGCTCTGTCTCGTCCCTCGACACCAACCGTTTTGAGCTGTCAGCTGCGGTAGCACAGATCAATCAAGTCTCGGTTCCTTGACCCCCGTGAGAAGACTCTTCTCAGAGGGCTGCAAAGCGCAGTGAGCTGACAGCTTAGAGATTGCCACTTCTCGGTTGAGCCAACGGCTCAGAATGATTCCGTGGTTTGCTTGGGACGTCGTCTCAGGCCGACCGGGTCTACCCGCCTCGCCGCTTCGATCCACTACCAGCATGCAACCTCGACGGCTGATCTCCCTATCCTATCACCGAACCTCGATCAGGCCTTCCCGCAATAGACCTAGAGCCGGGACTCGAGCACAAGCCGTCCGAGGCGCTGAGGAGGGAGCTCTTCGGCCTGGCCAACGAGACGGCGCTCGTCGAGGTCGTACCCAGGCGCGCCCCTGCCGATACGCCACCCGGTCGTTTGACGCTGGCCGCGAGGCTGGCGAGCGAGAAGACTACACGCGCGAAAGTGCGAAGCAGCGCCGTGGACCGTCCGACGGGAATCAAAGCGCTGCTCTTTCCAGCGATGAGGCCCAGCCCAGCAGTCGACGCTTCATCGTAGGCACCGTTTTTTTCTTTATTTCTCTCGACAGCAGCCGCCCCATCACGCCGGCTTGGCGCTCGCGTTGGCGCCTTCGGGGGCGGCGGCACGGCCCCGTCTTGGTGCCTTGCCCCTCACGCCCTCGCCGTTGCTCTGCCTCGGCGATCCTCCCGCTCCACCAGCCGAGGCACCGCCGCGACCCATCCTCGCACCACTGCCGCTACCGCCGCGGCCGCCTCGGCCACGCGAGCTGTCCTGCCTGCGCTGCTGCTGCTGCGCCAGCATCCTGCTCCTCTTGCTCTCCTGCAGCGTGAAGCCGTCCTCGTCGACGACAGGCTGCGGCTTGGGAGCAGGGGCCCGCGCCCCATGTCCCTGCCCTCCGCCACCACGGCCGTTCCTCTGTCCCGCTCTCGCTCCTCCTCCTCCTCCACGGCCACCGGCTTGGCCGTCGCGCGGCTTTCTCTCCCGGTCGTTGCTGGGCCTGGCCGCAGCTGGCGTCGACGTCGAGTTGGCGGCCGTCGTGGCGCTGCTGTCGAGCGCCGGGGTGCTGCTCTCCGCCGGGGTGTTGGACTGCGTCGCCGAGGCCGAGCTGAGGCTGGGGAACACGGGCGCCTCTGGGAGGTCGCCATCGTCGGCGTCGTCGGCCCAGTTGAAGCCCGATTCGGCCGTCGATGCGCCCACCGCGGCCTTGCCTGGCGTCGCTGTCGCTGCCGCACTCGTCTCGCCGTTGGGTTCCTCGGTCTCGCTGCGGGGCTCGACCTCTCGTTGGTTGATGGGCTCTTCGACGGCTGCGGCGGCCGTTCCGTCGGCCGTAGCATCTGTGGCTTCCTCCGAGCCCATGACGATGCCCTGGCCAGCCTCCTCGCCAGCCGCGGTAGCTGCCTCGGCCGCCGGCACGGGCTCCGGTGCTCCTCCTTCCGGCTCCGGACCTTGATCCAGGTTGGCCTCGCTGGGGACGGTGTCGTTCACCACTGCATCTTCGCCAACCTCGTCGGCCTGCATGAAGTTCATCTTGGCTACGGGGCTGGTCGCTGCGGCGGTCTCGCCGGCGTCGGCAAGCGGGGCGGGCTGCTCGACGTCGGCGGCCTCCTCGGCCTCGGCGGGAGGGGCAGTCAGCTTGAGGATCATGGAACGCACCGTGGCGTCTGATGGGCACAGCCACAACGGAAGCAGGGATATGGATCAGTCCCGGCAGAAGGCCCGCGGAAAGGCTCGAGCAGCAACGACACGGCGAGCTGCACGCGCACTCACAGGAGACGTCCGGCAGCACCTCTTCCTGCGACCCGGCTTCGATGCTGGCGAGAATCTCGAGGGCGTCGCCGTGGCCGCCCTGAAGCGGTCCGTTGGCGAGCTGGTCAAAGAGCTTTCCGAGGGCGGCGACCTGCTGGCCGGTGGCGTTCTGCAGAGCGGCGGGGAGCTGCTGGGTGGGCGCAAAGGTGGGGTCGCGCGCCTGGTTGGGAAAGTAGAGGTTGAAGAGGTGGAGGAACTGGAGGAGGAGGAGGATGCGGTCCTTGGCGGCCTGCTCGGCGCGGATCTTTGCGTCGGCCACGCGGGCGTCGGCGGCCTCCTTTTCCTCGCGCTCGATTGCGTCGATGCCCCTGCCGAGCTCCTGGAGCTCGCTGTGGAGGGCCTCGTAGGTTGGCTTGGCGGTGAGGTTGCGGACCTGGTCGGGGTTGAGCTGGGACTTGTCGAGGTGCTGGTAGGCCTGGACGCGCTGGAGCTTCTTTCGCACGGCGGTGGAGCGCTTGGTGATGAGCGTCTGGATGGCGCTTCTTTCGGGCTTGCCAGGGGGGGGTGTGGCAGGCTGCTGGGCGGTCGACGACGACTCGAGGGCGTCGACGGCGGCGATAGCCGTGTGCTTCTCGGCCTCGTCGGCGAGGTCGTTGCTGCTGACCTTGAGCTGCGGCGCCACTTCGGTGGGACCGGCGGGCGACTGTTCGATGAGCGCGGCCGAGGCGGCATTCGCCACGGGAGCGGCAGTGTTGGGGGCGGCAGGAGCGGCTTCGGACGATGGCTTTTTGGCCTTCTTCTTGGACTTGGTGGCCAAAGGGGGAGGCGCCCCGGGGATCACCTTGGGCGCCATGTCGGTGGGATGGCCCGTGGCGGCGGTGGTGGTGGCGGTGGCGAGCTGAAGTTGCGGCTGTTGGGGCGGTGTAAGCTTTGCAAGAGAACCCGAATGGCGAGGCGGTGAGGTCGAGGTGGTGGTGGTGGTGGTGGTGGTGGTGGTGGTGGTGGTGGTGATGATGGAGCCAGGGTTGGTGGGAACTGAGGCCTGGGCTCGGGCTGGCAGAGAGGTGCGAGGAGGGCGACCGCCTGGCCTGGCCTGGCTTGGCCTAGTTGATTTGATTCTGCTGCTTGGCCCAACCGCGGGGCGTCACCTGTGGATTTCAGTCATCTCTGTATCTGGCCGTCTGCCCTTTGTTCTTCTCGTCTGTCTGTGTCTACTCTGCCTGCCTTTGGCCGCGTCGCGTGGTTGCGCCCTGCCCTGCCCTGCCCTGCCCTGCCTGCCTATCCCAGCCAGGCCTGCCACCTGCTCGCTGGCTCAGCCGCACCTGCCTGGCCTGCCTGCCCTGCCTGGCTGACTCACCGCTCGGCCTCCACCCGCCCCTCTCTTCTCGACAACCAACATATATCAAGCCAGGGTCCCTCCTCCATCTTCTCGACTCCCAAAGAGGCCTACGTACAGCTCACGCTCCTCCTGCCCCTGGGCGACACCTCCGGCATCGCAGGCCGAAGGGCCGCGCGCATTCTACGCAGAGCGTCGGCCGTGGTACTTGAGGTTGAGGCCAATGTTGCGCGCCGCCGAGATCCGGTGCAGCGCCCCGTCGTAGGCAAACATGCGCAGCACGTCGCCATCCGCCCCTTCAACCTGGCTCTGCAGGTCCAGCAGCGCCTCGTCAATCGCCGACAGCGACTCCCGGTCCCGACGGACCTGCGACGCCGGCGGCAGCGGCACTCCGCCCACGCGCTGCGAACCGATCGGAACCACCACGGCCACTCCCTTGTCGGCCCGAGAGGATGAAGAAGAAGCCCGGCCCGACGTTGAGCCCGACCCCTTCGCAGCGGTAGCGGTAGGGCGGGCGCGGCTACCTGCTCCCGGCCTGACGGCATCGTGTGATCCACCACCGGACACGGGTCGGGCTAGTCCAGCGCCACCGCCGCTGCTGCTGCGGGCCTTGACGTGCATTTTCGCGCCGCCGCCACGGGCCTTGGAGCTGGACATCGCCGGGGGGTCAGGCATGGCAGCATCGACGCGCAGCTCCGTCCCCGACCGGAAGAACGTCTCGAGCACCGCCTCCCTGGGCGAACGTCCCTGGTGGCGCCGGGTGCAGTACTCGTCGAAGCGTCGACCGCGCAGCAGGTAGTTGCCCACATTGCACCCGCTGGCGTGCACATCGCAGCAACGTTGACACCGTGTCCTAGTGCCCACCGGTGGCGGCTCGCAATACGGCGCCTTGCTGCAGTGTCGGCACCGGAGGCGCCGGCCCGTGGCCTTGCCCATCCATGCCCATTCGATCACCTCGAGGCGCAGGGTGCTTGCGGTGAGAATCACATTGGCCCGCGGCGCATCCGAGGTTGCCGAGGTCGTCGCTCGTTCTCGCTGCACTCCGTCGTGGGGCTGGACTGCATCGGGAAGCACAACGGCTCGGCCGGTCGAGGTCTGTTTGGCCGCTGGCAGGGGCGCTCCCGCCGGGCCGTGAGTGGGAAGCTTGGAGGCTGCCAGAGGTGCCGATTCCTCTGCCTCGTCATACAGAGACTCGGTCTCTTCCAGCTCGTCGACGTCAGAGGAGGTAGTGATGGCTCGTTTCTTGATGGTGCGGCGGTTCAAGCACGGCGACCAGTAGTGCTCGTCGTCATTGTCGTCGTCGAGCGATGAGAATCGTGTGCCTAGGCCCTTAGTTGAGTCCGGCCTCGATGTGCTGGTAGTCTCGATGCAGCTTGCCGTGGTACCGCCGCTGCTGGACGACGCCTTGGTGCTGCTGGAGGCGGATCCAGCGGCGGCGGGCGGACGGAGTGAGCCCATTCCCTGGCGTGCGACGGCGAGGTGCGCGATCGATGGCGACGACGCCGACGAGGCAAAGCTGAACGGTAGAAAGCGGGGGACCGCCTTGGTCCTCTCCTCGACCTCTCCCTCGCTATTCGCGCCCGGAACGTTGTCGGTCGGTCCCCTCTTGCGTTTGCCCCCGTCGTCTCTCTTCGCCTCGTCGATGATGGCGCGGACCTGCTGCTCGGTCAAGGCAGCGTGCGAGGCCGGCTTTGCGAGCCCCTTCCAAGCGAAGAGCGGGCCCAGAGGCAAGCCGAGAGCCGTGCCGCCGTGACGCTTGTGCTGCGCGACGGGCAGGTTCGACGTGGTGTCGGTGCCTTCGACGGCGGCGAGGACCTGATTGAGGAGCTCGTCGTCGCAGTCGTCGTTGAACTCGTCGCCATCGGGGTCGCCGCTGGCCTTTTCGCACGGTCGACTGGCCGCGAGCGTCGTCAGCATCTTGTCGGTCAGTCCGTCGTTCATTGTGACGAAGAGGAAGGTGGAGATGGTCTTGGGAACGAGGAGCGAAGAGCTGGAGGCAGAGAGGCGAGGGGGGGGGCCGTCAGGGTAAGGTCAGGCCGATGATGGGATGAGACGGGGCGGAAAGGGGGCGGCGCGCGATGGTTATATAACCCCTCGTCGGCGCCAATCAACCGCAGGCGAGCAGGTAGAGACAGCGAGGCGCCTATCCTCTGCCGCACACCTCGCCGCTCTGATGCCTCGTAGGGCGATCGAGCGGCCGGGTCAGGGGCGATGGCAGCGCGTATGCTCAACATCACCCGTCGCCTCTCCGTCTTTCGACGGAGAGGGGCTACCGAGTCCACCGCTGTTTAGCTTTGGCCCGCCTCGCTCAATTATCGTAGCTCCAACGCGGTCCGCCATTGCGTTCCGCTCCGTTTCGTTCCGTTCCATCGTCGAGTCGGGTGGACTTCATTTCAACGATGGATGGGCCGAGGGGGCCGGCGGCCATCCCCAATCCGTCGTCAGTCGCTACGGTGGTCGTCAAGCAGAGCCCTACCTGCTGCTGCCAAGGTGCAGAGAGGGTGGACCAGAGCGCTGCTCGATGTCTCGCACGAGGGGAACATCGCCAGGCCGCCAGTCGCTTGACATCACTTGACCCACCACCGCCGGCCGCGCCGTCGGCTCAGCTCAAGACTAGGTTTGCGCGGGATTCAAGGTTCAAGGCGCTATTCGGGCCCTCGACCAGCTACGAGAGGCTTCAGAGACGGGCCGCGAACCCCTTTGACCCTGCGCTCACGGCAGCATGGCAGGCGCTCGGCCGGGTCGCCTCGGACCGGCATGGCCCGCGACTCTCCTCGCACACGCACACGCGCGCCCATGCACGACAGGCTGCCGCGCACCTCGTGCGGTGATACTACGATTGCAGCTGCTGTTGCTCAAATTCGAGAGGTGTGAATAGAGGGTCCTTCTTGTCTATGCAAAATGTGCGGTCTGGTGGGGGGAAACGAGCGGTGGAGGGCGCGAGGGCCGGAAGCGCGTCTACTCTTCGACGATGTCGCTCTTCTTGGGCTTGGGGCTGCTGCTGATGCCCTTGACGCGCAGCTCCTTGCCCTGCTGGTGGATGTCCTTGACCGTCTCGTCGCGGAGGATGCCCAGCCCGGTCTCGGCGCGCGCCAGCTCGAGGACGTCGTCGAGCGGGACGAGGCCGTCGTGGTCGACGTCGAGCTTGTCGACCAGCTTCTCGAGCACCTCGTCGTCGGGCTTGTGCTTGATCAGGCGCAGCGCCTGCTCCAGGTCGTCGACGCTGATCTTGCCCGTCGGAGACGCCTCGATGATGTGCATCCGGCTGCCGACGTCTCGATCGTACTCCTCGAGCTGGTTGTCGATCTTTTCCAGCATCGACTTGATGCGCTTCGACATCGAGCGGGTCGACGACGACGTCGAGCTGGAGCTGGAGCTGCTGGCCTCGGCCGAGGAGCCGGACGACGAAGCCGACGCCGCGGACGCCGCGGACGCCGCGGACGCGGCCGCGCTGTCCTTGTCGCTGGCGCTGGCGCTGTCGGCAGCCTCGTGCTGCTGCTCGCCGCTGTTGACCTCTTCGATGAGGCGCGCCAGCTCCTCGCGCTCCTTGAGCACGCTCGACTTGGCGCTGAGGATGCTGAGCGCCTCGCCGAGCTCCATGAGCTGCTCGTTGGTCATCCTGGCGTCCTCGGCGGCCTCCTTGCTCGTCTCGGCCTCGGGCAGGAGCGCGCGCGCCTCCTGCTCCTCGCGCGCCAGGCGCGCCTTTTCGGCGTTCTTCTTCTCCCTGTCCGCCTCCCTGGCCGCTGCCTCCTCCTGCTCCTGCTCGGCCTCGTCCTCGATGAGCTCCTCCTGCTGCTGGAGCACCTCGAGCCTCTGCTTGTTGGTGGCGCCCTCCTTGTTGACGTTGAGCTCGGCCTCGTTGAGCAGGTTGTCCGGCAGGCTGCTGAGCGTCAGCTCGAGCGACTTGAGGTGCGACGCGGCGCCGTCGTTGGAGCCCTGGGCGACGTAGTTGAACGCCTTGCTGAGGATGAGCAGGATGCCGCTGATCTTCTGGTGAAGGTGGAGGTCGATCCACTGGCCCAGCTCCTGGCGCAGCCGGTCCTCGGACAGGTTGGTGGTCTGGATGCCGCGGTTCTGGCAGGCGCTGATGAGCTCGTGCTGCGACATCGACGACACGCCCTCGGACGCGATCACGAGGTCGTCCTGGCGGATGCGGGTCAGCTTGTGCCGAATCTGGTAGCGGAGGTAGTTGTCGGTGCCAAAGGCGTTGATCTGCATGTAGCGGCACATGCTGACCAGCTGCGGCCGGCTGAGGTTGTCGAGGGTGAGGTCGTCCTCGAACAGCTTGGCCACCTTGATGATGTCCTCGTCCGACGGCGACTCGCCCGTGGAGCGCACCTTGCGGAAGAACTCCTTGAACTCCTCGGATGTCTGCACCTTGTCCGTGGCCTGCAGGCCGCCCTCGCGGATCGTCTCCTGGAGGAACTTGGCCATCTGGAGCCGCACCTTGATCAGGCCGCGCCGCTTCTCCTCTGCGGCAAACTTGCTCTCAAAGGTGCTGGGCAGCATGTTGGGAAAGATCTTGATGGCGACGGGCAGCAGCAGCTCTCCGGCGGGGATGACGACAAAGGGGATGAACGGGATCAGGCGCAGCAGGTCGGCCATGGTGCGCTTGAGCTGGCGGTGCTCCCTGCGCGTGAGGCTGTATCCGAGCATCAGGCGTCGCAGCAGGCGGCTCGAGATGCGGACCTCCTTTGCGAGCAGCTTGCTGCCGTGCCAGTAGTGGAGCGCCTCCTCCTTGACCTTGGCCCACACCCGCTTGACCTTGGACTGCTGCGGCTTGTGCGCCTCGAGCTCGGCCTGCTCCTTTTGCTTTTCCGCCAGCGCACTCTGCGACGCCGCCACCTGGTTGCAGCTCGACCCCAGCTCGGCGGCCGTGTTGCCCGAGACCGGCTGTGCCGCCTTGACCGTCGCATCGGATGCCGCCGCCGCCGTCGTCGAAGACGGCTGCTTGGCTGCGGACGGGTCCGAGGGGTCCTTCTTTGGCTGCAAAGGTGAAGCCGACGGCGGCGAGCCCGACGAGGAAAAGGGCGGCGGGGCCGACGATGTCGAGCGTTGTGTCTGCGTCTCGGTGCTGTGGTAGCGCGTCACCCGCCTGTGGGTCAAGGTGAGCGAGGCCGGCTTGCGCCGCGCCGTGTGGGCCGAGTAGAGCGACGAGGACGAGTAGGTGGCCGACGCGGTCTGCAGGCCCAGTGCCGGTGCGAAGATGCCGAGCACATCGCTCTGCCTGGCCGGGGTGCGCAGGCCGGGTCTGGCCCGGGCGGCGGCCAGGAGAGATCCCGAGGCCCAAGCCATACCTCTCCCGCCAAGGTAGGCGGCAGCGTTCGTGGACGACATCGAGGGTGCGGTGCGCAGCGGAGTCGATCAGCGGATTGCGAAAGGGGCGGCGTCGGCGGCTGCTGCTCTCGTCGCAGTGCAGCCGGGCGGGGACGAGCGACCGACGGGTGAAGCCGAGGCGGTGTTGCGGCGTGGCGTGGCGTGGCGTAGCGAGGCGCGGCGTGGCGAGGCGAGACGGTGAATCGGGGGCCCGCCGGTGCTATGGCGGCTGCGCGTACGTTGCGGTGGGTCTGTACGGTGCGTTCGGTGGTCTTGAGGAAGGGGTGGTGGTTCGCAAGGTGGAGACGGCTAGCTAGGCAACCAGGCCTGGGAACGTGCGGGCGAGCCGGCTCGGGGGGTCCGCTGCAGCAAAGCGCCAGGCCGGGTGGCTGTGGGGCGTTGGTGTGTGATTTGGGGGGCTGAGCGAGGTGGACCTTCCGGGGCGCGGCTTCGCACCAAACCGCTCGGGCGCCGGCGTGCGTGGCTGGACCCCAAAAGACCGCTTGCTTGCTTCTTCCTGCTTCGCCCCGGGCTGGCCAAGTCCGCCGCTGGGCACGGGGTCAAGGCGGGCGGCCGGGCGGGCCGGCACCCCTCGGAACCGCCCGAAGTCGGTCGGCCATCTTCGGTCGACAGACGACGGCCACTCAATCCTTTTTCGCACGGGAAGAACGGCGAGGTGGAGGCAGAGCGGGGCCGGCACCCGCCACGACCCACCATCATCGGCCAACGACACCTACAGCGACGACGACGACGGCGACGACAATCACGCTGCCACGATGCCGCCAAAGCAGCTGCGCAACCTCAGCTACCAGGCGCCCGAGACGCCCGCCTTTCTCCGGGCCTTCAAGGCGCAAGTGGCCGGGTCCTCGTCTTCTTCGACGGGCGCAGCACGCCGAGGGGGCGAACCACGCCTCGAAGACCTCCTCGCCGGTCGACCCTCGTCTCCGGGCCGGCATGGCGGCGGCGGCGGCGACGGCGGCGGCGGCGAAGGAGCGTCTTCGAACGCCAACGCAGATGTCGACGGCGATGACAGCGACGAGGATGACCTGTCGTTTGCGCAGGTCGTGGTGCTCAAGGACGGCAAGCATCTCACTCGGGAAGAGGCCGAGGAGGCGCGGAGGCAACAGCTCCTCGATCAGACGGCCACCTCGTCAGCCTCCGACGAAAAGGCGGCGGCAAGCATAGCCCAGGCAGGCGGGGCGCCGCAGCGCCGGAAACGCGAAATGCCCGCCTTTTCCTCGGCCGTCGACGGCAGCGACGATGACCGTAGCGGCACGTCGGCGTCCAACCTGCTCCGGGAGGCACTCGATCCATCCGCGGCATCGTCGTCGAAGCGCGCAAAACGGGCAGCATCCTCGCCAGGCGACGGCGGCAACCTCGAAGACGTCAAGAAGCTCCTGCGCCAGGAACAGGAGCGCAAGGCCCAGGTCGAGCGCGAGTCCAAACGACAGTCGGTCCAGGACGAAAAGGCGCAGAAGCAGAAGGCCAAGAACAAGGCCGCGCGGGCCGAAAAGAAAAAGAGCGGCAAGGGCCTCAGCTTCTCGATGGACGACTGAGGGCCGCAGGCGCCGAGCAGCGGGGCGAGGCGAGGCGAGGCAGGTCGCGGACGACGGACGGCGGACGGCGGTCGAGGGACGGCAGGGAGTTGGGCGGCAGTCTATCGAGATTCCGGTATCCTGTACGAGCGTGCGAGTGCGATGTCTAGGTGTAGCAGAGAGATGGTGGCAACTGTATCATGTGGCGATCGGTGTGCAGGAAAGATGCGAGCGAAGAGAGGCAGACGGGCGTGCCCTGCCACGAATGGGGTCGACGGAATAGGAGGAGGGGGAGCTTTGCCGTCAGGTCTCGGGGACCCATGCGGCCCGGGAGGATGGAGACCAGAGGCCATCACAGGCCATAGTGGTCGGCGGCCTGCTCGAGCTTGTTGACCATCAGGAAGATGAGGGCGCTGCTGGGAGCGCTGCGCAGGCAGGTGACGCCGCAGCCGGCGTAGAGGCCCTTGATGCCCCGGGCGCTGTAGATGTTGCGGAACGTCTGGAAGAAGCCCGTCTTGGGACGCGCCGCCTCGCCCGGCTTGAGCGGCGCGCGCATCTCGAGCTCGGTCTGCATCGTCGACTTGACCGAGTCGGCGGGGAAGAGGACAACGTTGTAGCTGATGCCCGCCAGCGCTCCGGCCGAGACGAGCTCCAGCGTGCCTAGGTCGCGCTTCGAGACGTCGTCCCGCCCACGCAGCGCCTTCTTGCGCTGGATGAACCAGCGCGAGCAGCTCTCAAACGCGAGGAACCACGCAACGCCGCCGCCCGTCTCGCGCAGCAGCGTGCCAGTCTGTCCAAGCCACAAGCCGCGGACGCCGTCGGCCTGGATGGTCCGGCGCAGCAGGGT